ACATCTTTGTGCTGATGTGTTCAGCTGCAGTTCTGGCCCAGTGGCTCTCTGTATTATGCTCAGGAGCTGCCTGGCTGCCTGAATATGCCGAGGTGTACTGCAGCACCTCCTGGTCTTTGCCACTCCTCCTTTCTGCTGTCATGTCACCTGCTTCCTCTTTCCTTTGCCTCACACGCTCTTTGCCAAATCTCGATGAAATAACCCCTTCCAACTCTCACCTTGCATCTCCTCTTCTACTCAGGCCGTGGAGAAGGAGCATGCTATGGTCTTCGAAGTTAATCAACATGAAGCCAGATTTGGTCATAAACCAACACTGTGACACATCTGCAGGTGATTTTTTGTGTGAAACAGTGCTGTATCTATGATAACTGTGAACCTTTCAAACTCTGGTATCGATTACTGACATTGTTCTGATGAACTGCCGTTGTCTAATCACACAGGAGACAGGAATCGAGGCTAAGTGCTGAAGTAAAGTTAGTTCATCTCACTGAAATCTTCTTACTGTAACAAGCTTACATGCTGTGGTTCCCATTCAGTGCTTTACTAGTTGTCAACACTGAACTTCCCGACCTAAAAAACATTTTCTACCATCTGAATCCGAGGCTGTCTTCTGCATCTTCATCTGATTCTTTATTATTTAGTTGTATTATTTTACCGTAACCTTGTTATTCATGATATTTTAATGTCATCAGATTATAAAGAAATTTAAAAACTAGTTACATGAAGGAAGAAAGCAAATCTTTTGATGTTGGTTTAGTTTAATACCAGCCTGATTTCCTCTTTTCTCTTCTTGTTTCTCTGTCCCAGTCGGCCTATCAGCTTCTTACTTTTCCTCACAGTAAACTCCCTCCCCTCTCTAAAGCTTTTCAGTTGACACACTGCAGGATTATCCCTCAGCCTCCTGGAATATGCTGGTTTGGTCAGACTTGTCATTCGCTCTGAGCTCACATTGGCCACTAAGGTCAAAGCTGCAAAAATAAAATTTGCAGCGAATCAATAGAGGAAACATTTGGGTTCCTCCTCAGCCTGGCATCGAAGAGCTGTCTAATTTCACATTTGTAGACTGGTTTAATTTTATTTTGCGAAGATGAAGCAATTCATGGTAAGTGAAGAATTATAAAATGTGCAAACTTTTAATTTGTGACATGGAGTTCTCCGAGTTTTAGATGTTGGTCCTTCCTCTCCTACTACAACAGGCTCTTAGCAGACTTAAGATTACTAAAGCAGCTGCTTTGTCAGCGAGGATTTTAGGCAGTCGGGAGGCTTTAAGTGGCTTTGAACTGAAGAAAGCAAAATGTTTTTTGCATGAATCGGCCATTCTACAAATGCTTTATCTCTGTATTTTATACAGGCCTATTTATTTGTTCATTTGTAGGAGTTGTCTTTACTAAGACTTCCTCACCAGTTAAAGTCCAGGGGAATAGAAAGTGTTTTCACAATCTTCAAGGTGGATTGACCTCAATACGCTCCATATAAACCCCTTTATCTCATGGGACACACAGCCAACTCCCACAGTGGATCAAAACTCTGGCTTCTCAATGGAGTGTGCTGTTCATGCCATCTAAAATCATCATCTGAGTATTGTTACATATTTTTTTTACACTTTCTTTATACAACACCAATGTCTGCTTGGTTTCTTTCAGCTACCATCTTCATGGTTGACACCAAGCTGCAGGATTACTGTTAGAATTGTTGTATTGTCCCCCCAAACATTAGCATTGTGTCATTCTTGTATGCTGGCGTCATGCCCAAATTTAAATGGATCCAGTGTTGATAGGTATTGCAGTCATTGACGCTGCAGCTTGTTGGGTGGTTTGGCTGATGTACAGATAGCTGAACAAATGTGGGATGGTGGGATTAGTACCTTTATCTTTAGGACTGCTTAACGTGTGAAGCAGTCTACCATAACTTTGTAATATGTGTCCAAAAATGAGCATCTTGATTTTGTTGCTGTTAAAGCTGCGGTACGTAGTTCAAACTTTAAAAAGTAACTTCAGAAATGATTGAATGTGACTATCTGGCTGTGCTCTATGGTAATATTTCTGAATTTATTTTATGTTTCCTCTGGCCCCTACAGCAAAACAAATCATTTACTCAAGCCTAGATAGTGACCAATAGGTTTGTGTTTTCATGAGAGGGAGCTGTCAATCAACAAGTGTTTGCCCCACGAGGGGATTCACTGTTTGACAGCTCAGCTTAGCACACCAACCTAGCTTAAATGCTAACTCAACCTGCAATGTGTTGATGTCAGTCTGTAAACTTTAAGCTAACTGTGGAAGAGGAGCAAGGGAAATGAAAAGGGATTTATCTTTTGTGTGTTGGAGCTAAGTGATTAGTGTTGCGTTCAACCTCACGCTATAAAACTATTGTATTAGCCTGTTGTAGCATTCACAGGTGTGTGTTACCATCACAAGAACCAGATTTCTTCTGGTTTTAGATGTTTCCTTGCTTGAACTCTGCATACTTGATTAAAATGTAGCTCCTGCAGAACCCAAAAAAGGCTGAGTAGATAATTCAGCTGTTAGAATCAGGTGTGTCTGAGCAGGGACACATTAAAAACATTACTTTTCCATTAACATGTGGGTTTCAGTTTCTTCCTGAAGGGAAGAGGGAGCAGGGACGGGAACTATGGGTAGCCCAAGTCACGCTTATCTACTTCCAAAAAATGTGAATGGGAGTCTATGGACCGATAAAGTTATTTTCTGATCCCGTTGGATATGTTTCATGGATTTCACCTATGACGTCTGTGAATTTCAAAGACACATTTTGATGCCATGAAAGAGCTTATTTTCGACCGGCGGGAAAAGTTATTTTAGATTTTGTGTGAAAAGACGTAGCAGATTACAAATTCTCGTCTCACCAAATTGACATAATCAAACCAGACACAAAGAAACAAAATTGCTGAGTTTAGCGAGCTTCATGTCCTTCGTTCTGGACAAAAGAAGGAGCACTAAACGTGGAGAAAACACTATAAACTTGTCATGTGGTAAGTAGCAGCTACGCTAGGGGAGAGGAGATTCTGCAGTGACGTCATATATGCGACGTCTGATTTGTAGTCATTATATATACAAATTTTTACAAGTTTATTATCTCAAATTAAGTGGTAGACATATTTAAAACACCTATAGTTACTTTAATTTAAATTGAAGTACAACATATGCATGATTCAGGTCGTAAGGCAAAGCTGACCAGAAAAAACTTTTATACCTTCGTTCAGTAACCCACGAGCCGACCGGAAGGGGGAAGACTTACACTATAACGCAAAATCTCCTCCTCCTCTACTTGATGATGTCACAGATCACAACTTAAGGCTTTGTACCTAACAGCTAACTAATAAACATTTACTGAGCCAACGATAGCAGTACATTCCCAGCTAACAGCTAGTTTAGCCATAGCTGTTAGCTGTGCTCTTGTTCAATACATGTAAGCTCAAAAAGAATTGTTAACATAACACTTACTTTTCCATATATGATTAAACCTGATTTGCTCCTGTGTTTTGATCATTTGTGTTTTAATGAGTTTCTGGAGACTCATTCAGATGAGTACTGTACAGATGAGTACAATGATAACTGTAGGAGCTTCTCAGAAACAGCAGAACAAAGAGCAAGGACGTAATTTTCACTTTAGAAGTGGAGGGGACATGGGGGGGGGGGGATCTTTACAGTATGCTCTAATGGGAAACAGGCTTCAACACAAACGGTTGTTTTCCGCTTGGTCCTAGAGCTCAACGTGTCAATTTAATATAGCGTAATATTGTTTTTGGTTGGTAAAAAGTGCAGGGGTCAAAACTTGACTTTGAAAAAAGTGGGGGGACATGTCCCCCCCACACACACACACACAAATTGCGTCCATGACGAAGAGGCACACATCTGTTCTGACTCAGTACCACTGAAAATGCAAAGTCATTTAAGGCTACTTTGCTGATCTGAATTAGCACAAAGAACATTCATGACAAAGTCAACAAAAGAAGAGACAAATGATCAGAGAGCCACTGACTGCTGGGAGGCCTGATAGTAGGCAGGTCTTTGATAAAATAATTTGACCAAATGTTCCCTGATAGTTCTGACCCAGATTGAGTTCATCAGTGGTTGTCCAATAGCAACGAAAACAATTACTAAATGTTCCCCCAAAGCGTTTGTTATTACTAAGGAATATCTTTCAAGGTGTTAGTTCCCCTTACAAGGACACTAATGCTGCCATTTGTGTAGGAAGCTGTCTTAGATTACTCGCTCCACGCCACAGATGAAGGATGTTGCAGAAAATCATTAGTGGTAATATTTGAATGTGGCACAGGTCTCTGTACTCTGCTGATTTAGTTTATAATCTGAAATGACCACAAGTCATCCTTCATCACCAGAGGTTGTGCGTTGAACCAGCATGGACTGAGCACACTAAAACAATAAAATCCCTTATTTTAATTAAAAGTGCTAAATGTGATTAAAGTTGTTTGCACTGCAAAGTCAAGTTAAGAAGTTGGATAATGGATGCAATCCTCCACAATGTACTGGAATTATAAGATCAGGAAGCCATGTATTGCAGGAACCTTATTAACAAAGCCTCATTACACTTACATGCTATTCTATAAACTCTGTTGTTACGCTGCTTGTGCAAGACGAAGAGCTCTCTGTGAAGGGAGATGCATTTATCAGGAGGGCAGAATGGATTAGGCTTCAAAAGGAGAGTTCAATACCAATTTAATACAGTCTCGTCTGTTTCCATCCTGGGGAGCTATTGAACACACGTCAACCAAATAAATATAAAACTAGATGTTTGAGGAACCCCAGATGTCACCAGATTATTGATGATTCAGGCACAAATCAACATCATCTTGTTTTTTGGAGGCAGAGCTTCATACATATGTATGCTATTTTATGTGTGTGTGTGTGTGTGTGTGCAAAACTTATAAAGCATGACAGCCATTTACATAATGTAACCTTATTAGGTGAATGGTCATGTGATGTTTTATTCTCTCACACTGTTGTCATTTTGTTGTCTTTCAGTGCATGAGGAACCCAGCTCTGCTGCAGAGGACAGGTTTAGTCTTTAGAGAGCTTTGCCACATCCGGGAAAATGTCTGGCTCCTACGATGAATCCGCAGGTGCTGACGACACCATGGACAGCTTCTGGGAGGTATGGGAGCAGCACCGTGTCACTAGACTGAAATAAAACCTGTTAAGAGAAAACATGTACATAAATATGTACATACTGAGAGTGTTTAGCACCAGTTTACACAACGTCTCACTCTTTATGTTGTTATCCACCATAGCTAGCTGATGTCACATTGATTAAAATACCAGTATGAAACATTTGAGGGTAACCTTCTGGCAAAAACACAACCTAATATTTATAACTACATTAGTGTCTTCATTAGAGTGGAATCACATGGCAGTAAGAAGGATTGTATTTTTATTACTTTAAAATGGGCAATTTATATAAATAAAACTCTGCTGTTAGTCTTCCTTGCCCGCTAAATACAGTTACTACATACAGTTAGTTACTACATACAGTTACAGTTACTGCATACAGTTATACAGTTATTTTATACAGTTACAGTCACTACATAGTTACAGTTACTGCATACAGTTACACAGTTACTTTACATAGTTACTACATAAAGTCACTACATACAGTTACTTTATACATTTACTAGTAGTAAGAGTAGTAAGATTTGTATTCCTGTCTAGCAGAATAATGAAACATTTCACAAAATAAAAATGTCCATTTAAAATTTCCACCATAGAGTTTTTGCCTTTGCTGTAAAATGTTGTCATTCATAAAAACAGTAATCAGAAAAAGGGTTTTTACTGGAAAAATAAAAACACCCTGTATTTGTGAATTCAACAGGCTCTTAAGTAAGTGACAGAATAGTAATTATGCAAAATCTCCTCACAGTTTCCTTTTGTGCTTTGGATTCTCTCAGTGTGGCCTGACACTGAACAAATACAAAAGCTGTAGTTTTCTGGTTTTGTGTGTGTGTGTGTGTGTGTGTGTGTGGGGGGGGGGGGGGGGTACAAGGCTAAGGGAAAATGTAGGTTGGTAAAAAGTACAAAGCCAAATATTTAACATGCATGTGTTTTATTCCCCTTGGTGAGGTTTTAGGACAACATGCGGCTAAAAGCTGGAAAGACTGAATAGTGGTTGCCACAACAAAAGAGAAATCATTGTTACACCCTCTGTAGTAAAGAGAACAAAGTGTGTGCGTGTGTGCGTGCGTGTGTGTGTGTGTGTGTATGTGTGAGAGTGTGCATGTACGTGCAATGTGTGTATGTGTGCAATGTGTGCATTTGTGTGTGTGCAAGTTAGCATGCATGCGTGTGTATGTGTGTGTGTGTGCGTGCATGCATGCGCGTGTGTGTGTGTGTACCTGCATGCATGCATGCGTGTGAGCGTGTGTGTGTGTGTGTGTGCGTGCATGCATGCATACATGTGTGTGTGTGTGCATTTGTACATGCATGCATGCATATGTGTAAGTGTGTGGATGGAGGTGTGTGTAAGTACATGTGAGTGTGTGTGCATGTGTGTGATTGAAACACAAGAAATTAGTGATAATGAATTCCCTCAGAACAGTCTTCTTTGTGTCATGGCTCTTATCCAGACAAAGAGCCTCAGTCATTGTCAACTCTGAGGAGGCTTTTCACCACTTGCACCTGCTTGTAGCATCTCTAATTTAGCAACACAGCTCAGCACCTAAACATGTCAAAGTACAATCTTTATTTCTAGCACAGAAACAAAACCATGGAGCTCAGGTGTGTTTTAATGCGTGAAACCAGCCCACGTACATGTTGTTGTTGTTGATGTGACTTAGCAGCATGTCACACTTGACAAAAGCCATATGGCCAAACACCTGTCTCACAGTCTCCCTGTAGCTTTCATCACAAAATAACACATGCAAGCCCATGTTGACCAATCACAGTGCAGCTCTGCAGCCAGCAAACATGGCAGCTCAGCTCTTCTGAATGGTGCTGTACACGATTTATGTCCTCATGCAGAGAGAGAGAGAGAGAGAGAGAGAGAGAGAGAGAGAGAGAGAGAGAGAGAGAGAGAGAGAGAGAGAGAGAGAGAGAGAGAGAGAGAGAGAGGAGAGAGAGAGAGAGAGAGAGAGAAGAGAGAGAGAGAGAGAGAGAGAGAGAGAGAGAGAGAGAGAGAGAGAGAGAGAGAGAGAGAGAGAGAGAGAGAGAGAGAGAGAGAGAGAGAGAGAGAGAGAGAGAGAGAGAGAGAGAGAGAGAGAGAGAGAGAGGAGAGAGGAGAGAGAGAGAGAGAGAGGGGTCTGAGGTATTTCTGATGCTACCTCGTCATTCCTGAGAATCTGTCTGAATGCATTATACCACTCAAGAGGATTAAAGCAACCCCAGTGTGTGCGCGCGCGCTCACACACACACACACACACACACACACACACACGAGCCCATGTCATTACATAACTACACATGCACTAGCATGAGTACCCCCCACCACACACTTTTATCTTCCCTTTATCATGCAGCATGAGCTCACGCCCCCTACCGACGCTGAAGAGGATGAGATTCTCAGCCTCTTAAGGTGGTAATATGTTTATTTATTCATAAAATAACTGAGATTGGAACACAGAAGTAACAGATAAAGGTCATAGTTTTAAATTTCTCTCCATATTTAGAATGAAACAGAAAAGCACTTTAAAATAATCTGAGTAAATTAACTTGACCAGCAGGCCATTCGTTTGTAGCAAAACAGGACATTTGAGTCTATGGAAGACACATTTCTCTGAACTAAATCAGATCATCAATGGGTTGTTTTCAATGCTGAGAGTAAAATTTTAGCATTCATCTGCATTTACTACATTTGAAAAAATTATTGTGAGAAATCAATTAACCCTTTGATGCATAATGGTCACTACAGTGGACAGGTACTCAAAATTGTAATTTTTTTTTTTTTTTGCTATTAAGCAGCTGTTGAAGACTTTATTGCATTTGAGCCCCTCCGTTAGGACTTCAGTAAGTCAAGCCAACATCTTTCCTGTTCAGAATGCACACTGCCCACTGAGGTGGACGTGTAATAAATTATTTGTAAATTATTAAATGTTACAAGAAATATTTGTTAAAATTTGTTTCATTCACACCTAAAGACAAATGAAAAAAATTGTTAAAAAAATCGTGATTGAAGATTTCATAATTCATGCATCAAAGGGTCAATTTTAAAATGACAAAATCACACCAAAACAACAACAAACATGCTGCAATATTCAATTGATTTGTGGCTTTTAAACAATTGTGCTTATTGAAGAAGAATTCCTAAAGCTTTTTTCTCATTTGAATTTTTTAACCTGTCTCATATTGGCTAAGCATGAATGGTTCAATAACATGAAAATGAGTTAAAATGTCATTAACTGACAGACAGACAGACTGTAGACCCTATTCCAGGATTATTCAATTCCAGTCTTGGAAGGCTGGTGCGCAGCATGTTTTAGTGATTTCTCTGCTCCAACACACTTGATTCAGTGGTTGAATCACCTGTGCAGCAGCTCATCAGGCTCTGCAGAAGCCTGTTAACTATCTGCTGATTGAAACCAGGTGTGTTGACACAGAGTTCAAACTAAAACCTGCTGGACACCAGCCCTCCAGGCCCAGATGTGAATACCCCACCCTATTCCTTCATCTCAGCTGTTGTCCGTTCAGTCCTGTTTTTATTCAGCCATCTCTTACCGTAGACATGTATAAATCATAATAAATAATATATCCTCTGATCAAACTTGTTCCCAACAATGGGGGCATTTGAGTGTTGGAGTGTGTCTTTTAGCTCCTGAGGTGTCTGTTTTTTGAGGAGTGTAATTTTGTGCCCACACGGTTTGCCTAGCCTTGTTGCCATGTGACTGCGCTGCTGTTATAGACCACTGAGGCTAAGCAGAGTTGCTCCTGTGTAATTGAAGCTATTTCTGTTTACTTTCTGCTTAATTTATGACATCTCAATCATTTTAAGTGTAATAAAATGTCATAAATGATCACTTTGCTTCTTTATCATTTCCCCTTTTACAAGTTATGTGATTAAATGTTTTCTATTGCTTGAAATGAAGAACTGAAGTATTTTAATTGAAAGCTTTTTGCCAATATGCTCAGGTGGGGAACTACAAACGTGCTGTCAAGAGATTTGACGACGGCCACCGGCTTTGCAATGACCTCATGGGCTGTCTGCAAGAACGTGCCAAGATAGAGAAAGCCTATGGTGATCAGTTAACTGCATGGTCCAAGAGGTGGAGACAACTCATTGAGAAAGGTTTGGCTTTTATTTTTAGGATAGATCGTTCCAAATAAAGTTTACTTTTGTGAAGCTCTTCATTTGAACTGAAACCGTTTTTGACTCTCAGGTCCGCAATACGGCACTGTGGAGAGAGCCTGGCTGGGTGTGATGACCGAGGCAGAGAAAGTAAGCGAGCTGCACCAAGATGTGAAGAACAACCTGCTGAATGAGGACGTGGAGAAAGTGAAGAACTGGCAGAAGGAGGCGTATCACAAGCAGATGATCGGAGGCTTCAAAGAGGCCAAGGAGGCTGAGGAAGGCTTCAAAAAGGCTCAGAAACCATGGGCCAAAAAGCTCAAGGAGGTGAGCAGGATTAAGTTTTGTCCTTGGTGAATCACTTGAGTTGGTTCAGATGACCCTTAAAGAAACTCTGTTTACAAAAGCAGTACCAACATTTCAACGTCTTTTTAACACAAATAGAGCCAGCGTAACATCCGATGTGACCTATCTATGGAAGGAATTAGACGTGGAGACTCGGACATCTACACAACCAACTCCAGCATCTCAATGCCTGGTGTTTTAAACTGGTATAAATTCCTAATAAAATCAAATGAAGTTGAGTGTGAGGAGTGCAGCAGATTCAGAGACAGAAAATAAAGTGCAACAACTTTATCTTCACTAGGGTCTCAAGGAGTGGGTGCCAATCTCCAGTGGTCATCACAGGAAGTGGGGAATAGTCCAGACAGATCACTAGTCCACCACAGAGACACACAGAGAGAGAACCGGTCTCACCCTCACTCACACAATTTAGGGTCTCCGATTATTCTAACGCACGTTTTTGGCTTGTGGGAGGAAAGCAGAGTTCCTGGTGATCCCACACATGCATGGGGAGAGCTGGAAAATTAACCTGTTAACCTTCTCACTGCAAGGCAACAGCTTGACCGGCGGTGTCAGAAAAGACTTAATCGTTCTAAATCCATTATTTGTTTGAAGTAATGCATGTCACCCTTTGCTTTTCATAACACTGTTCAGCATTAGACTACTGCTGAGAAAGGATGGAGTTAATTGGCAAATGCATGGTTGGATTGTGAAAATAAAATTATAACATGATATTCATTTGTCATCATGTAAAGGTTTAGCTCAGTTATGCAAATATAGTAACTTAACTTTTGCAACGGCAATTTTTGTGTTTGCTAGGATCGGTTAGCCACAGCTGTTACTTTGATTTGGGTGGATGTCAGAACTAAATGGCATTAGATGCACCACCAATGATTGCATTCTCACAATTTTTCCTGAAATCTTTGCAGTAGTTCGTGGAATAGTTTGCAAACTGCCTGGGTTGACTCCAACAGTTAATGGTTAAATTTGAGGCAAAGATGTAGTTGGGAAATGACTCTTAGCTATGTCAAAAGCACTGTTTAGCTGAATATCTGGATAGTGTAGTACCTTTGTGTCGGCTAAACTGTGGACATTTTGAAGGAAGTGAGTGATTACTTTCCAAAAGCTTTGTTGAGATCATGAGATTTTTTGTAAATGCCATAGCCTGCATTACAAATTTCAGTTGGTGAATCATTATAAAAAGCTGATGAGGTGTCAGAGCTTACTAAACCACAGGGAACAAGAAACAACACGGAGGGAACCCACTGTAGGTTACAGAAGGTTAAGGGTGATTGTTTTGTTCAGAGTAGTTATGATCTGCTGTGTCTCTTTGGTAACGCCAGATGGAGGCGGCAAAGAAAACATACCATATGGCCTGCAAGGAGGAGAAGCTGGCTGCAGCCAGAGAGGCCAATGGTAAGACCGAGGCCTCTGTCACGCCAGACCAGCAGAAGAAACTTCACGAGAAAGTGGACAAATGCAAACAGGATGCACAGAAGGTAAAGAGATAAGCGCACAAACCAGAACTAGTACTGGAGACTTTGTGCATGAGCTTTAGATCCACCTGTCTGTTTGTCTTCTCAGGCTAAAGAGAAGTACGAGAAGTCTTTGGACGAGCTGAATAAGTGCACTCCTCAGTATATGGAGTGCATGGAGCAGGTGTTTGACCAGTGCCAGCAGCATGAGGTCAGGAGGCTGACCTTCCTCAAGGAGGCCTTGCTGGACATCAAACGCCACCTAAACCTCACCGAGAACCAAAGGTATGCCAGACCTGAGAGAATGGTTTCTTTACACATGACCAGATTTAAACACACGGTTAAGGATTCATAAAAGGGTCACATTCCAAATATAAATAAAAAAATTCACTAACACTTTTAAAAGTGATTCATTCCTTGTGTTTTGTTTTACTTTCAGCCCAGTTTGCACCAAAATGATCGCCCTACCTGCAAGCCTCAACCAGGACTGCTAATAACAAATACATGGCTGTATTTGTTATTAGCAGTCAGACTTGCTATGCTACTTTCAGACTACTTTGGTTGTGATTGTGTTTTCTGGGCTGCGTTTGATTAGGAACCATTTAAATGGCCAGGAGCAAGACGACTTTCAGACATTACAGCTTTGCCTGCCATCGATTATTTAGTTTAAAAGCTTTTACTGGGTGGTTTACTCTTTCAATTGGGAGTTATTTTTATCATATTTTTCTTTATGTAACTATCTAACATTAGCGTTAACAATAATAACACTCCTTGTCATTTTTTTTCACTGAATGTTAATAGACATAAAATTGATCTACTCTTGCTTTTTGATTTTGAAAAACTGTGGTACTACAAACATTGTGATACACCATAAATACTCCAGAGTCTTCAGAAAATTGTGAGACCATTCTCCGCAGGTGTGGACTCGAGTCATTATTCTAATAACTTCTGACTTGACTTGATAAAATCTATAAAGACTTATGACATGAACACCAGTGACTTGCGACTTGAATCGACTTGCATCTGTTGACTTAATGACTTGAGCATATTTGATATTTTACCACAAAAGTGGCACGACACGTACAAAAACCATAAATCATTCTTCGTTCTGGGTGTGATGTTTTCCGGCTAAATGCAGCTGCACTTTGTTAACAATCAATTTCAGTTGCACTTTCTGCTTGTTTGAGCAAATAAATGAAGCTTTCAGAAGCTTTATTTCTGGAATGTATTTATTATCCTCATTAAATTGAAGTTTGACAAATGACTTGATTTCGACTTGAAAATGCAAAGTTAAAGATTTGGACTTGACTTGGACTTCCAGATCATTGACTTTGGACTTGACTTGGATTTGGTTGTCTTTGACTTGGACTTGACTCGAGACTTGACTGGAAAGACTTGTGACTTACTTGTGACTTGCAAAGCAGTGACTTGGTCACACTTCTGCAAATCTCTCATTTGACCCACATTTCAATCTCTCCCAGCCTCTGGGTTCTGGTGTCATTTTGGATCCAGATCCTGGTCCCATCTGACCAACTCATTGTCTCTGTCCTCTTTTCCTTTTTCTCAGCTATGCCACAATATACAGAGAGCTGGAGCGCACAATTCTGTCTGCAAACACACAAGAGGACCTGAAGTGGTTCAGCAACAACCATGGCCCAGGGATGCCCATGAACTGGCCTGCATTTGAGGTACAACATTAAAGCCTTCAAATAAAATAAACATGTGAATTAAGAAAAAAGAGAAAGAAATTCCTGGTTTGATCTGTTCCTGTTTACACTGTTGACACAAGGAGTACAACCCAGATCAAGCTGCTGCTCCTCCAAAGAAGAAGAGACCAGACGGAGCCCCTCCCACTCCGAGCACTGATCACGTGGCGCCACCTGGTGACCGAAGCAGGTTAGTTCAAGACACACGCTTAAATCTGACCTCTCAAATTAGAATTAAAATTTAGTAAGAATAAGGGCAACAAATGCTGGATGTAATTAATTCAAGTTCTTGTGACATTGATTCATGACTCAGCTGATTCTGAGTGAATCGGGTGAAATGAATATCATGGAAAAAGTTGTTATTTTTTAGGTTTTTCTGTAAACCGATTGTAAACAATGTGGAGACACATGGAATAACGACAGGATCCCTCTTCAACCCACCACTCATGGATTTATGTTGTGATTGTCTGAATGTGTGCTTTTATGTTTCCTGAACCTCACTCTTTCCCCTGTCGGGGGCATATGGGGTGGCTGTTTTTCTCCCTCATCCCTCCCCTTCTTTCCTCGATGTCACTTGTTAGCCTTTCTCATCTGCATATATGGGCGTGCCGTGAACAGCTGCTTGCCCACAGTTCAGCCTGATTCTGTTGTGTTTTTTAATGAGCTGTATGTCAAATCTTGGAGGAGTTGTTCTGAAACTGAAATTTCGATGTGGCGGGATGCTGGCTCAACAACAAGTAAAGAAAAAAACTATGGAAAGTCTTTAATTACTGTTAAAATTAGTAACCAAATGTTGTTTCATATGTTTTGTGGGAGGATTAACATCAGATTTAACCCATCCTATTTTCCTCCCTTCAGTGTAAGCAGCTATGACAAGAACCAAGCCTATTCGGCTGAGTGGTCAGATGACGAGCAGCCCACAACATTCTCAGGCAACGAGAACGGTGGAAACAGGAACTCCTTCGAAGACGATTCCAGCACTGGGAAAGGGGTCCGTGTCCGTGCCCTTTATGACTACGAGGGCCAGGAACAGGACGAGCTGACCTTTAAAGCAGGTAATTATCAATGGGCACACTGGGTGACCTGGGAAAAGGGATTAGAGCTGCATGGTGCAGACTTGGGACGAGGTGGTAAAGTGCAGAGTACGATGCAGATAAAAAAATAAACCATCCTTCTGTCCTAACGTTCCCTTTCTCTTTAATAAACCATAGTGATGAGTCAGTAATGTCTGCATGGGAAGCAAATTACAAGATGTTAGTGCAGTGGTCTACAAATGGTCATAAATTTTTATAAAAAGCTCTGAGCAACTAAAAAGAAGTTAAACAAAAGAAAGACGTGCATCTTCTCGTCCATTTTGCTTGAACCTGGTTTAGCTACTTTTTTATACCTTTGACATATCAGGTTATAACTAGGGACCAAACATGTTAAAACATGAGCAAACTGCCAATATTTTGCTAATTTGTTCAGTTTAGAAAGCATGAAGCTCCCCTGTTTACCCAATAAAAATGATTTTTATTACCTAAACTGTCAGATTGTTTCATGACATTTAATCCAAAACTGTGAAAGATTGTAAGAAAAACCCTTGGTCATCTTCCCAAAGCAAAAGGAGGTGGACAGGGTAATTACAGGATGACCTGTGAAGCTTTCATGCTGTCTGTCCTTTGGTTGAAGCCAATTCTTCCTGTCTCCGTCCACAGATGTCCCTCTCACCTTTGCACTGATAAACCGCTCTAGTTATCATTTGCATCACTTAGATTTTAATCAACAAATGAGTTGCTCACTTTTGCCTTTTCTGCTACTTTTTGACCTTTTTCAGCAACACGTTTTCTTTTTGAGATTTGTGTTACTATTTTTTATGTATATGTATTGGTATAAGGACAAGCATGCATAAAGGGGCCAATTGCACCTGCGCGTCATTATAAATTCTCAGTGAGAGTTGATATGATCCCTCAAACTTGAAGAAAATATTTGTCATTGTCCGTTTTTCCACATTTGGTGCCTTTTCAGCCAATGTGGAGCAGTCCATCTGGCATTTGCCAAACTTGTCATATTGCCTGTTGAAGGCTCTATTTGTAATAATTATACAGAGTTTAAAAAACATAATTAAACAGGATTTGTAGCCTAAATAAAATATTGTACTTTACAAAACATTTAACTTTTAAAGAATCTAATCTTGAAATGGGATTGTAATCTCTACATGAAGCTACACACTAAGTTTGAGTTAATGTTTTAATGTGTTTAGTTTAGGAAAAGGCACAGCTCTAAAGTTTCTTTTTGATTCAGTTTCAATCTTAAACAATCATTTACATTAACTATTCAGATTTCTCCAAAAACATCCACTTGTATGTGTTGAAATTTGACAACGTGATGGTGTGAGCTGACATGGTCGTGTGCCCTTCTCAGGTGACGAGCTGATCAAGATCGAAGACGAAGACGAGCAAGGCTGGTGTAGAGGTCGTTTAGACAGCGGCCAAGAGGGACTGTACCCAGCCAATTATGTTGAGCCTATCTAGTCCCCGTAACTGGACAAAGACATGCCGCTGGAGGCAGCTTGAACTGTCCCGTCCAACTGCACCGCACATAGCCAGAGACTTGAGCAACACATCCCTTGCCCAACAGAAGCGCCAAGCAGACTTGCCTAAATAAAACTTAGTAAGCTAAAAGACACTGTACCCATATAAATATTTTATCCAGCATCTGGGGTGGGTGGACCTACACGTTCAACAGCAGTAGTTATATCAGTGTAAACGCACTCAGCTTTATGATCAAGACCGTGCAGGGACACACTGTTTCTCTGTGTAGCTGTTTTATTAGATAATGCAGCTTGTTATATCTCACAGTGTGCTGCAGTGTGTTCTCTTGTGGAAAAGGGAAGATAATATAATCAGTTTTACCCGTCTAACAAAGAAGAGCTTCTCTAACCTGCGTTGTATATATACAGTGTGATGCCATTTTGTGTAGTATTGTTAATGCTGTGTATGTCATTCTTAAACCAGGAATGCCGCGTAGTGTTAAAAGTACCACAAGCCGTATCCTCTTTAATTTTTATTTTATTTTTATTTAATTCTTCATTTTTCTTTGCAGTTTGGTCCACCATCTTTGCCGGTGTGTGCAGTGCTATGTGTTTTGAACCCTTTCTCAACTTGCATAGCAGCATGTGCTATGCAAAGACTTTGCATTTCCTTGAATCCTGCAGCCTTGTTTGAGCTCCAACTCGATGCAACACTTCAACTACAAATGCAGTATCACATGCGTCTGGACATATGTGCATGCTTGTGGTTTCGCAAGCAAAAAAAAAGAAAGTTTCTCAATGAACCAACTTTGTTTTTGTTTGATGTTTTGCATTCAATGTGTGTGTCATCCTCAGCACTGTAAATCCTTTGACGGCATCATCCTCATGCAAAACCATGGAAAGGATTTACAGCTACCACAGAAGTCAGGTCTATGGGACAAACATTCCCTCAGAGCCAAGTTGGATCAGTCACCTTGTGGTTTGCGCTACATTTATAAGCGGGTTGTCTTGAACATTACTGATGCCCAAGACTCTTTTTCCAGAGCAAAAGGCCAATGGAAGCATGTCAAGACATTACTGTGCAGCAGGCTATCGCCTGAAAATAGATGCCTCTCCAACAGGACATGAATGTACCAATGATTGGGCTTGAAAGAGGGCATTTTGTCTAAACACTATTCTTTACTGTCATAAAAAGCCCTCCCTAGCTAAATGCACTCGTATGTGGCCCGTTCCCTTACCGAGCCAAAGAATGACCTGCTAGTTATGAATTTTCTCCCCATGCACTAAACGCATAGCTCTTGCTTCCCAGGTCACCCCAACATCTTTTGTTCCGCAAAAAACTGCTAAAGATACAAGGAATACAAAGATGCACTGCATATACTCACACTAGACCCAGTGGACTACATGTTGGTGACTGACTGCATTAGAAAAAATAAGATTTAGTGACCCATCTTCACAGCAGAATTGCCATCAAATTCTGATGCAAGATCAAACTGCCTTAGGACATGGAGCTGCTACATGTACTATAGTCATAGACCTTTGTATCAGCTCAAGCACAGAACCCTGAGGAATCCCACCACTGCCACCGTTTACTGTAGCACAAATAATAGGAACACAAAAATATCTAGTTTGCAGATTTTTTTTATTTTTTATTTATTTTTTAATTCTTCCATACATTTTCAGCCACTTATCCGGGGTCGGGTCACGAAGGCATTAGCCCAAGGAGGGAGGCCCAGACTTCCCTTTCCCCAGCCAATTGGGCTAGGTCATCCGGGGAATCCTAAGGCGTTCCCTCACCAGCCGTGAGACATAGTCTCCCCAGCGTGTCCTGGGTCTTTCTATAGTTCTTCTCCCAGTTGGACGTACCCGGAAAACCTCACGAGGGAGGCATCCTAACTAAATGCCCGAGCCACCTCAGCTGGCTCCTCTCGATGTGAAAGAGTAAACGGATCTTCTCCGAGCTCCTCCTGGATGACCGAGATTCTCACCCTATCTCTACGGGAGAGCCCAGCCACCATGCGGAGAAAACTCATTTTGGCCGCTTGTATCCGTGATCTCATTCTTTCGGTCACAACCCAAAGCTCGTGACCATACGTGAGGCTTTGAACGTTGATTTTATTTTTTTTATAAATTTAATATAAGGAACTGTTCATCAGAAATGCTTAAAAAGTGACATAACTTTTCATGGCAGAGTACATCTCTCTGAAGATGGTGAGAGTGTGTATTCATAAAACTTCATTAAACATGCGAGACACAAGCTTTGCCAGATCTGTATGAAATAGCAGTTTTGCGTGGTTTCAGAATGTGATCAGACATGATCTGCATGACAGTTCTGCGGTGCTGACTGAAATCCTGTCACTAAATGGTTTATTTTTCCATCAAAATATTCCTATATTTGTCTTCCTAGAAATCACATTTATGGCAAGAATTTCCATCCATCAGGTGTCAATAAGTGAGTTGTGTTACTCAGCTGCCCCTAAATCTCTGACTGGATCAAGGGATAATGCTTTTTTATAACTTAGTTATTAAAGTCAGTGGACCAGGAAAGGTCAGATGTGTTTAGCTCTGTGTCTGAGGCGGGATTTTGATCTCACATGAGAGAAGAAACACATCACCAGCTCACAGGACTTACCTTAGAGTCTGAGCTGTCCAGCATAGCAAAAATGACTTCTGTTGTCAAACTGTCCCACATTCTTGATGCAAACCTACCCATCTTCAAGCGCATAACCTACATAGCCAGGTTAGCATTTTGGGGATAAAACATCTTGACCATCCAGTGTGTATGAGTTGTGTAAATGTAATGAAAAGTTGTAAAAAAGAATTTAAAAAATTGCAAATGCAAAATGTAGTGTTATACGTGTTTCATTAAATGACAGCAAATGGAAAACATATTAAGAAATAGGTACCATATCGTACGAATTTTATTGCAATGGAAATGTCCGTGTATCATAAAAGCGTGATGTTATCCCACGCGTCCGATTTGTATATGATGATGTAATTTAAAGATGATATTATTCTATTGTAACTGTACAACTGTGTTGAGTTGAAAATGAGACCTAACTATGTTGAGACAGTAAAAAGGTGTATATGTAAATGCATTTTTATGTTGATCTCTTCCTTATGCACACATGGGGCTGCAGCTCACAATGTGAAAACCCCATTTAGTGGTCCAGAAGATGTGTGTTCATAGTTAGTGATGTACTTTTATCTCCTAACTGGTGTAGTGCCTGTTCATCTTGGTGTAACAAGACGTTCATTTAAATATGCATAAAAGGTGATTTTGATCACCGGTAATAATGACAACAGTTATATAAAAAAAACACTCCAAACAAATTTGCTGTGATGGTGTCAGTATGGAAATATTGGTTTGGAAGGGAAACAAGGTTGTTGAAAAAAAAAAGTTCTGTCTGTGTGTTTTTTGTATGTGATTTTCTTTGTTGTCTTTATTAAAAAGACACTTTGTCTGAATGTAAACCCCAAGCAGAAATGCAAAGATGGGCTCATTTAACGAGATGAGTTTTATAAAAAGTATTATTTTTAACCCGTTTTCCAAACAAAGTTGATGCTTGCAAATACAGTAAACATATCTGGTATTGTTGCGTAAAATTATAAAGTAATATAAAAACTGGATAAAGGCACAATACCTGTGACCTTTAGTCATTAGCTAAATTTATTTCTGAACACCGCAAAGGCCATCACTGAGCCAATTTGGTAACTAAAAATAAGTTTAACATGACACTCAAAAATTGGTGTTTGTTCAAATATAAACTTAAAGATGACTCAGATTGACCCACAGCTCAATGCTGAACAAACATGAGAACTAAACCTAGCAGAAATCATGTAAAAACCTACGAGCAAACCCCCAGGTTAAGAGCCCATGTGTAAATGGATGCAGATAAGGAGGATTTATATGCTGTTGCTAGAAACACTCAGTTGTAGCCTGTCACACACACACATACACAAGAGAAATGTCTGTGCCACTGCAAAAATAAATAATTATGCTTCACTGAGATGGAAAACATTATTGGGAGATGATTATTATTATTATTTTAAAAGCCATATTCACAAAAACAGCACAATTGGCGGTGATCTGCCTTAAATCTCACCAACCACCAGGCCTTTTGTCTGCAGTCAATTAATGCAATCAAGAGCTTGCAGACTGCTACACCACCCCAGCTTGGTCAATATAGAATGGAGATGGGCACAACAATTTTATCAACAATATTAATAGTTTCTGCTATTTCTTTAAAGAAACCTATTATAACTTAAAAATATAAATTTATTTGATTGTTCAATACAATATGTTCATGAAGTTCTAGAATTTCTCACACATAAAGTGATCTCAGCGATTTTATGGTTTACAGTTTCAGTACCTTCCAGAATGAGCCCTTTCATGGCTCTGTCACTTTAAGAAAACAAGCCGGAGCTGGCCACGCCCACCCATCTCCCATTCAGGCTGCTTAAAGCTGAAAAACGGGCTCCGAGTGCAGGGCACTCAGACTTTGCTTGAGATGAATGTGAGCTGTGAGCAGTAATCTGGCTGTGATTCCTGAACTCACACGCAGGATGGATTTGATCATGGAGAACGCTACTGCACTATGTGGTGGAAATTAAACTCCATTATACGGCTGTTTGTACACCCTTGAGATCAGCAAGACAGAAGGCAGTGAGGAAATGTTATCTGTAGCCTGGCCTGCCAGACTCGTCCTCTGTTTAATTCTGAACAGAGAAAGAGTCTGGTAACTCACAGGCAGAGAAGCACATGAGGGGCGGGACCAGGCAGCCCAAAAATAACCAATCAGATAAAAGACGGAAATGCAGACTGTACCGCGCAACGCTGTAGTTTTTTAGCTGTAGTCAAAAAAGGCGTCTGGCAACGGCGCAAACATCTTTTTTTTTAGAAGAAAGACTTTCAGAGCTTCTACTGGTTGTGGTTTTAACGACACTTAAGACATTTAGAACAGAGGAATGAGCCACAGCAAACTCCGCCGCCGTCTTCATTGCTTATGAGAAACTGAGCGTTGCAGTGTGTGACGTCTGCGATGCTGTAGTTTTCTAGCTGTAGTCAAAAATCGCATCTGGCGACAGCGCAAACATCTTTCTTTAGAATTAAGTCTTTTAGTGCTTCTACTTGTGGTTTTAAAGACATGTCCAAGTAATTCAGAGCAGAGGAAAGAGTTGGAGTTATGTTTGACAAACTCGGAGTTATGGTGTGTGACGTACGCTACTCAGCGCTGATTGGCTCAGTTAGAATTCTCAGGGGGTGGAGTTATTTGAATAGGAGAGTTCCCAGACCCTTTCCCTGAGCAGAATTAAACAGAGGAGGAGTCTGGCAGGCCAGGGTATCTTATCTCTGTCCTGGTCCAAAACAATTCATGTCAACTAAATCTGGCTCTCCTCGCTTTAAGGCCCTGTCCACACGTAGCCGGGGATCTGCCAAAACGTAGATATTTTTCTACGTTTTGGCCTGTCATCCACACGAAAACGGAGTTTTTTCACACGAAAACGGATCTTTTTAAAAACTCCGGCCAAAGTGAAGATCTGCGTTTTCTCCGTTTTGGGTGTCTGCGTGTGGACAGACAAAACCGGAGTTTTAAGGTCCGCAACAAAAAAATGCTGACATCACGTGTGCGACCTGTGTTTACACTAGCCGACAGCATGGATGCCCTCAGAGCTGCGCTCGCTTTATCAATTGTCCAAGCGCTTTTTGCTTGTTTGTTTTTGCAAGCGGAATTACTGCTCCTTGCGGAAGACCACAGACGAAGGACGAGGTTAAGAACGGGGGAAGTACTGCCGCCTACAGGTCTGGCATGTCCTTAACAACGTATTTATCCGGGTACGTGTGGACCATGGTGTGGACAGTTTTTTTTAAACGAGGTGGTGTGGGTGCAAGTTTTTGGAGGGGCGGATATTCGTTTAAAAAAAACGGCTACGTGTGGACTAGGCCTAACTTTGTCTGAAAAACTCAAGACTCCCTGAGAAATGATTACAGGTCTGCCCTCACAAACCCACTCCTGACGTGGAACTGTATGTGCGTTTGAATTTGAGGCATTTTACAGCTGGAGGGTAACTTTGCTGGTGTCCTGTGTCATAGTGACAGTTCCTTCCTGGTCTGCAATGTGTAAGTGTGTCCAAAACTGGAGAAAGGTTGGATATCTGTTTTCCTGCCACAGCAGATAGACACACAGATGGATAAATTGTCCAAGATTAAAAACAGTCCACAGATCAAGAATTTAACTTTCAGTGATAATTTAATCTTACAAACATTCATCAAACATAAATGAGTTTTCATCTGTTTGCAACTCCTCACTTGCATACATGTGCTGCTGTGGGAGTCGAATGCCAACTGATTCACCCCACATTCTGGCCAGTGGAAACTTCAGACGCCACACAAAGAAAATAACACACTTCTTGTGTGACAACAATGACCACGTCTGACAGCAAGAATAAAAACAAACATGCATCATCAATCAGATCATCAGCAGAAAACAGTTTACTGTTCAAATTGTGAGCCAAAGGAGTCCCTATTGTCATTTTAGCTGGTCTGTCACATCTCAACACCCCTGATGTTTACACTGTTACTAAGGCTCAAGGCGTTTTTTTGATGACCTGGTCCAACACGTGATGTCCTTGTATTAAACACATTCAACAAAACCAGCAGTCAGAGCGGAAAATGGAGAATCAGTTGGCAAAATTAATGGCTTTTAACTCCAAAGTCTCTTTTCCACATTGCGCAATCCACACACGTCTACACACAAAGCTTTCAAAACACTCATTCTGCTCACCACAATTCCATGTGCTTGATTTTCAACTAAATTTAAAAAAAAAATTTAAAGAAATCTAAAAAAAAAAAAAAAAAAAAAAAAAAACAAGAGAGTTCACTCAAAAGAATCATTGCACTCATGTTTAACTTAGCATTCACGCATGCATACAGAGGGATGTTGGTTCAGCTGCACGTCAGGAGCGGTGGCCTCCAGCTTCTCAAAGGGACTCCGTAGTTTGCATAAAGTGTTTTTAGCTCCACCATGAAGCCTCTTCTTCATCTAAAGCCCGGGCCACACTGCGTTTTTTTTCGGCCGCCGTAGGAAAATTTCTCGTTGTGACGAAAAACAGTGAAAATTAGGGTGATTTACAGGTTTGTGGGCATCCATTGTGACCAGCCCGCTGACAGCTTATCGAGCACTCTGACGACCCTATCCAGCTTCCAACAGTCTTCAAGCTGCATCAGCAAATCTACGATCCTGGTCTGCAATCGATCGATAAAAATACACCCAGGGAGTGACACAAAAAACTAACGATGAGAGTACAACGAGAAAGTAGCATTTGCAACAGCCGAGGCTACACATATGAACATGTGAACCATCACTGTTAGGAGTTCGGTTCAAACTCTAATGAAAGAAGTGTTAGCGGTGGCGCTTTTTTTTTTCTCTCTTTTCATCGTTGATGGGTCGGTTTTTAGTGACGTAGGCTTTTCGGCGTGTGTGCTCGTGACATGAGCATGTCCTGCTAGAGCGAGGCGTCGTGCAGTCTGGCTCACTGAAATCTCGGCCCGTGTAGTGTGCCACCTCTCTACTGTCCGCAGTGTGACACAAAGCAGTCGAAAACCACACAGTGAGTACCGGGCTTAAGTGGTGTGACAGATTCCAGGGGGTCAATTCAGGTCCGCCTTTAGAGTAAAAAGTCCCACGATTAAGAATTCCCAAAAGGTGAAGGCTCCTGTATCTGTAAGGAAGAATACATTCTTTAAAGTTTACAAGAAATAATAAATGCAACTTCAGCAGTTTCAGTCATTATAAAACTGAAATGTTGAAATTGGTTTTCAAATAATCGGTTTTACTTTAGCGGTATGAACATCTCACCTGGTTGCACGAGACTACTGATAAACTGTTTTGTAGTTGATTTGCTACTATATCAACAGAGCTGTGTGAAAGTCCATTCTGGTCTTGCTGAAGCTGGCATGGGTTTCCCTGCAAATGTTCCTCTGTGACGATGCTGCTGCTGTGGAAGTGGTTGTTGTTGCTGTTTGGGCACTTGCTCTTCACTGGTGATCCAAAGGGGTTGTAGTCTCCCTCCAGGCTACGATGAGGCTGAGTGTTGAACTCGGCTTGGAAAGAGGACAGCTGCTGTGTGACCCCAAGGAGACCTCCGACCTCTACGCTCAAGATCACCCAAATTATATCTGTCAAAAAAAGTGAAAGTGATTCCATCACTCTCCTACAGTAGGTCTGTGCCACTTAACAGCTCGACGTTAATCAGCTTTCTTGTTGCACTTTCTCACACTCGCTGTGTAGGAAAAGCAGATTTTACTAAGAGTTTTAAATTAATGGTGTTTAGATGCCATACAGCAAATGTTTTCTTCTTGGGAATGCTTCAAACCAGTTGTAAAAATGTTCTTGGCTATAATAACGTATCAGTCACGTGTGTGCTTTCCAAATCTTGAAACACTAATTTCAGCGTTTAGGCCGTTGCTTTTATTTTTGCATTGAGGTTTGTTTCCGTTTCACAGTTCAAGCAAGTTTATGGTTTTCAATTTCTTCCATAAAAAAGGTTACACGTTTCCACAGAATTCCACTTATGAGTAGCAGAAGTGAGCTGTAAATAATTACCAAAGTGTGAAGTTACTGTCCTCACCTCCATAAAAAAGTCCTGTGGCTGTGCACATTCTCCACTGGCCGTGGTACATGCCAGGAGACACCGGGCTATGCATCTGCACACTGACATCTGTCATTTCCTGGGGATCCAGAGGGCGTACCATCACCATGTTTACATGACCAAACTGATCTCCCCCAACATACTTCAGAGAAACCCCTGGAGGCCATGACTCCGCGCCTGAAAAACACAACAAATACATCGACTGTGTGTAAACTCTTTCCACAACGAGACGTAGAATTCTCTGTACCTGCTAGTTTACCTGTGTTCTGTACCCTCCAGGTCTTGGTGAACGTTGTGTCTGGAGGAACCGATTCCCCCTCACCGATCGTCACATCTTTCACTAAAGACATGCACGGTGCACTGACGTTAGGACTTTCAAAGTCATAGTAAGCTCCGATGGCAGCCTGTAAATTCCTAAATGAGACAAAGGAAAAGCAGAGACCCAGATAATCAGTCCAAAACCTGATGTACACATTATTTTTTTAGCAGTAGTTGAAACACAAACACAACAGATTGTTTATTTTGGACCAGTTTTAGGCAAATGAAAAACACTGAATGTGTAACCTTACCACTAGGGATGGCTACTTCAACGTGGCACCTCTTTAGTACCAACCAACAACACTCAACAGGAAAACTTACGGTTTATGCTTAGTTTAATTAACAAAATCTCGTTATCATTGGCTCATTTGGAAAAGACTGTGCTCCCTGACTTGTGTGTGAATCTAGATTCCACCCGGACATTTGATGCCCAAGACAATGCAATGGTTAGATCTGGCTTCTTTCAGCTCCGACGCCTGTTCAGGATGAAGACGATGTTGGAAATTGGGACAAAAGTAAACCAACTGCATTTCTATAGGATTGGCATTTAGATGAGGAAATCAATACAAAGCTCATCTCCTCAACACTAATGAAGAAAACAGCTAAATGAGATTGCTAAACACTGGCAAGAAGTAATTTGTCAGATTAGCTGAAAAAGAAAACAATGAGCTGTCAGCTTCAGTGAAACTAGCAGTGATTGAAATTACCCTGATTACATCATTTAAATAAGATCACAATCACTGATATAACAATTGCCCACACAGTACCCTATAAACTGCTGACAAGGTAGATAATAAAATAATTTTAATACAATCTGTAGATTACATCCCTTATTTTAATGGTTTGTGTTTTCCTTTGAAAACCCACCTGTGCAGTGAGCTTCTAGCCTGGCAAGCCAGACTAAATAAATGTATTATTTAGTCTTAATAAATGTATTATTTAGTCTGGCCATGCTTCATTGACGGCTCTCGGTTGTGGGGCGGGTTCTACCGTTGTCTTTCAAATGATCTCCGCATTCCACTGGCTGTGGAATGTGACATACTCTTGTTTCACTCTGTTGCATCATCCCACCCACCAGGCATATAGAGTGCCCTGACTGGCCCACAAAGCAGATAAGCTCTGTGATTTGTTCACTAAGCAGATAGAGCACTATGATTGATCCACCATTATGGACCAATCACAGCTTTTTATGTGTTTGAAACCCCTCTAGAGAGCTGTGATTGGCTAGCCAGAGTCCTGGTAGGAGCTGCGGAGGTTCCAATGGAGTGTGCCTAGACCAAACTTTGCAAAGCAAGAATTTGGTCTAGTTCACTAGGCTAGTGAGCTTCATGACACGCGTTTGAGCAAGTCAGCACCAAAACAGGCAAAACCTTTAAACATGTGCCAGTTATTGGGGTGCTTTTATGGAGAGCTATAATGTCACTTAAGGTATCCAAAGTAAATTCAGGCTGGGAAAAATTACAAATGCAAACCTCAAGCCAAAAATAAGTATTTGTCCCCAAAATATTTTATCCTGGGAAAAGAAAAGAATTTCCCAGGCGAAGATCTGTGCAGGCTAGGCTTCCATAAAAATCCTCCATTTAAATCGAGACCCAAAAGAAGCAAACATACCAAAAACAAATGATTTGTTTAAAATATTCTCAACGGGAAAAAATATTTACGTATAAAATTGAACACAATGAATGGGCAAGTGGGAACTTGTTTGCAATCATAAGTCAAATCTTTGGTATTTACTGAAAACCTCTTGAAAATATCTTGAAAAAACCTCTTCATTTCCAGAACATGTTTGATTATGGCCCTCTATTACGTTGAATCCATTCCACAGTTTTCATTGGTACACTCAATCCATCCACTCAATCCAATTGTGTTTCACACATTTGTATTTTACCGGAATGTTTCATCTATCTTGTAATTTCCATTTTGTATTTTGTAATTTGTATTTTGTAATTTGAATTTCTTTTATTTTGATTTATTCAGTATAATTACTTACAACTGTACCATGTTCAGCGCTTTGGGCATCCTGACAGGGTTGCGGAAGGCGCTTTATAAATAAAGCTTTGATTGATTGATTGATTGATTGAAAAGAAAAACTAGCTTGAAACTGCATGTCTGCGGGGGGGGGGGGGGGGGGGGAGAGAGACACCTTTTTCAGCATAACACCGGAAGTCAAGTTGTGACGAAACCAGATTGTTTTTAACGGTCGACGGCCGAAACACACACACACACACACACACACCTAGCCAAAATGCCACACACAACTAGCCAAAATACATTCGCTCTTAGCTAATCTAGGGTGCGCTAGATTATGTAATACCTGTGGTAACGTACCCACAGACATTCAATCTGACAATCGGCACAAGCATTTCAGATGTGTTGAACCATAATCATAAAGCCGAATATTATCAAAATACTTTTAAACAGATATAAACATTTAATCCGCACTCGGCTGTGTCCCTGCTAGTCAATCAAGTGAGTCACACTGACTCAGCTCGTTACGTTACCACGATGTCGTAAACTGTCGTATTCCCTTAATATTGCTAAGCGTTAAAAATTCAACATCGTAAAGGCTATCGTTGTTTTCATTGTTCTTTGTCTTTTATTTACGTGGCGGGAGTTGGTTCACAGAAAGCTAGCTGCTGCCTGCCTAGCCTCCACCACAGCAGGCCGCACGAGTCCCCGAGCTCACCAGTTGGTCATGTCCAGAAAGAAGGCGCATCCAGCGGGGTTAAGCTGAAACCCGAGAAGCCTCTGAAATTCCGATATTAAGATATCTTTGTCCGTCGTGCCCATGCAGCTGAATTTCTGCATTAGCTCCTGGTCCAAGTCCAGGTCCATGCCCTCCATGACGTCTTCGTCCTGGCAGACACGGAGGCTCAGCAAAATTTACACCGAGGCCTCAGCTTGTCAACAAAACGCAAACAACAGGGCCGAGTGCGCATGTCACATGACCTAGCCCAGCTGGAGCGCTGCCTGAAACCTCAGCAGTGTTTGGCTACAGCGGAGCATCGACTTGGTTGTTTTGAAATTTGGCCTGACCTCCTCGTTTCAACCACAAATAGGAATAATGACAACTTGCTGATATAATAAAGGGAAGATTTAGCCAAACACAAAAAGTACTTTTAAATCAAAGAGAGCAACTCACTACCCTCAGGAGTTGTACCTTGCTCTCACCCAGAGAAATGCACTCACCTCCTCAAAAAACAATATCAAACCCACCTTTTCAAACCGAGACAACCAGGATCTCAGACTTTTTCCCTTTCACTGTTATAATTTGTAGTTGTATTGTATACATATTTATATAAATGTCCAGCCATCCATCCATTTTCAGCCACTTATTCGGGGTCGGGTCATGGGGCAGTAGCCTTCTCCCAGTTGGCCGTGCCCAGAAAATCTCACCAGGTAGGTGTCCAGAAAGCATCCTAACTAAATGCAGAGCCACCTCAACTGGCTCTTCTCAATGTGGAGGATCAGTGGGTCTACGCCGAGCCCCTCCACGGATGACAGAGCTTCTCACCCTATCTCTAAGGAAGACCCCAGCAACCCTATGGAGAAAACTTATTTTGACCGCTTGTATCCGCAATCTCATTCTTTCTGTCACTACCCTAAGCTTGTGACTACAGGTGTGGGTTGGAACGTAGATCGATCGGTAAATCGAGAACTTTGCCTTCACGCTCAGCTCTCTCTTCACCACAACAGACTGGTACAACGCCCACATCACTGCAGATGCAGCACCAGTCCGACTGTTGATCTTGCGCTCCACCTTTCCCTCACTCGTGAACAAGAAACCCAAGATACTTAAACTCCTCCACTTGGGGCAGGACCTCATGTCTGACCCAGAAAAGGCATTCTACCCTTTTCCGACTCAAGACCATGGTCTCGGATTAGGAGAAGCTGATTCTCATCCTAGTTGCTTCACACTTGGCTGCAAACGACTGCAGTGAGATCCGGCGACCACGTTCTGATGAAGCCAGCAGGACCACACCACCTGCAAAAGGCAGAGACTAAATCATCAGGCCACTATAACAGATCCCCTCAACACCTTGGCTGTGCCTCTCTCTCTCTCTCTCTCTCTCTCTCTCTCTCTCTCTCTCTCTCTCTCTCTCTCTCTCTCTCTCTCTCTCTCTCTCTCTCTCTCTCTCTCTCTCTCTCTCTCTCTCTATGCGTGTGTGTGTGTGTGTGTGTGTGTGTGTGTGTGTGTGTGTGTATAATTTCAAAATGGCACTAGAGGGTGCTTAACGTGGCATAAGTGTGAAGAGATGAAGGTGTGGATAACAATCTCTAGTTCAGAATGGGACCCGGCTTATATGCTCCTGAGATGGAAGAAGGAAGAGCTGACTTTGGGAGCCAGCCTGTCTGGGGCACAAGCTTGATGGTCTTAGTAACCCATCTGTAATAAATGTGTTGTTTACTGAATAAATGAGCACATACTATTGAATGGTTTGTGATTAAACCATAAGGCCTTACGTCTAATATACTGTTCACTAATACAACCATACATGGCATATAGAAATATGGGGTTCAACTTTTAAAACATGTATACATGAAATAAAAACAATACAAAAGAAATCTATTCGAGTTATAAACAAGAGCAATTATGCTCATACTGACCCGTTGTTTTTAAAATCACAGATTATGAAATTAGAAGATCTATATTATTATAAAATAATGCAATTTATGTTTAGAGTGAAATTAACGGCTCTGCCAGAAAATATACTAATGTTTTTTGCAAAGAGGGAAAGTAAATATCATTTAAGAGGTGTATGTATATTTGTTCTACAAAAAGTCAAAAAGGGCATGAAAAGGAGATGTATCTCTGTAATGGGAGTAAAATTTTGGAATGAGGCTAAAATAGAATTAAATTTAGCAACTTCTCTTTCAGTTCTTAAGAAACTTATCAGTAAAAATATTTTTGAAGAGTATTAATTTGATGTTGATGGATGGATTTGTGTTTTATTTTTATTTGGGTTGTTGGTTCATTGCGGGAAATTGAAAAATTGTTTTGTAAGTAGGTTAGGCAATTATATAAGCTATTGCTTCTGCCTAAACCTATTCAGTCATGAGATACCAAATAGACACCATATACAAATGAAAGCATATGTTAGTGAGAAATGGTATTTGTATCTAATGTTATTGTACATTATCTTAAGAAGACTGACTGAATCATTCATTCATTCATTCATTCATTCATTCATTCATTCATTCATTCATTCATTCATTCATTCGTTCGTTCGTTCGTTCATTCATTCATTCATTCAATGGGTGGACCAGAATAAAGTCACAGGCAAAAAAACAAAATGTTTCTATTTGACACAGGGGTGTGCGTTAGCACTCTATATCCAGCAGGTGGCACTGTTGTGTCGGAGCTTGCGTTTTTCCTTGAGGGGGGGTTTAGCTGCTGTCCGGTGTTTATCGAGGAGGTACCAGCTGCTAGCAAGATGCACACGGCCAGCGCTCAGTTAAATGTGCAAGTACCCGCCAGCTAGTCTTTACCTGTACAGGTAGTAAAGCCACTGTCGTTGTTCTAACCGGACACCAGCGGAAATGGCGGGGATAATTAAAAAACAAATCCTAAAACATTTGTCTAGGTAAGTGTTTGGTTTGGTGTGTTAGCGAGAGCTAGCCCATCACCTTGGTGATGGTTTAAACGTCACGAATCGTTATTTACCTGTTGTTTGTCATTTATGGTTATAGGCCACCCTTTAGTTTATGCTACAATTGCAGAAACTTAAAAATGATGTTTGGAGCTTTTACGGGGACCGTGAATGCAGCATCTCAGCCTAGATGTAGTCAACTCCGTCTCTGCCCCATCTGGCTATTTTTAACCGCAGTGTTGTGCTTTATTTATCCAGATCACGATCTCTCCTTTGCCTTTTTGTGCCTTAAATATTTAAAGTAAGGTAACCACGAGCCGATGCGTATTCATCAGCCAAAAATTATCATCCTTTAATTTGATTTTCATTTTTAAGCTTTAACATTAAAAAAAAGCTTTATTCTGCAATTTTGAGCTTTCAGCATCCAGGAGCAAATGTTTTCGTGCCTTTGACTTTTCTTTCTGCTCTTTAGGTGAAGCTGTCTCTCAGGAATAATCAAGCCTGCCGTTTTTCATACCGCACCACAACTCTTGTGTTTATTTAGTATTTGACACAGCCAGATTTGAGACTCTGGCAGTTGTTGGGTTACTAATCTGGGTTTGGACAGCGGGTAATGAAATGTGTTTTGCAGATTTTTGGGCTGAAGTTGATCAGAAGTACCAGTTGAGTTCATGTGTCAGAGCTGTGAGTTAGTAAAATCTCTCTCAGAGCTGTGTTGATAACTGTAAGAAAGGCAGGAATAATCCCTGCCATTCCATCAGGTTTTCTACAATGACTTCTTTCTTTTTTCCCCTCCAACTTCTGGAATATTTGTCACCTCTAAGCCTGTCTAATCCCTACAGCTTCAATACATTCTGCGAACAATCTCCAGACTATAATCTTTGATCTAATGAGTTTGAGCTAGTACCAGATTTCTTATTCACGTGTTTTTTCTGACATTCTGTAAAAAAGCAGAAGAAAATGTTGAAACGTGTAATAAATTGTGTTAGACACGGGAACGCTGGCTTGAACAGGTTCATCGGTATGTGCTGCTGGTTTACTCTAGAGAGCAGTTTGTACAGGATTCCTCCAATACCAAAGATAAGATTTGTGTGCAGAAAAATGTTTATTTAGCTTTGATTCATCAGACCGATGTCAAAGCCGTTACTTTGCTGTATTGCTATCCCGACTGGTAGTCACTCCCCGAGGCTGAGTTTAGTCGGTTTTATTTCCTCAGCTGTTTCTCTGTTAAATTCCAAATGTTACGGAGAATTTTCACGGCGATGTTCAGTTACTTGACCATAAAATCGCCCAGTTTTGTGCTGTGACCCACTTGTGTTCGCTTTTGGCTTCCGGCGCTTCATCAGACACCCTTTTCCTCAAATGACCCAAAAATGGTTACTTAATTTCCTTTTAAAATATTGTTTTAATTTTGATGCTGTTTGTGATTTTAATTATAAACTGCAGTAGCTCAGCAGGTAGAGCAGGCTGTCCAGTAATCAGAATATTGCAGGTTCAATCCCGAATGCTGCTGTTGTGTCCTTGGGCAAGACACTTAACCCAGCGTGCCTGCTGGTGGTGTTTGGTTAGACCGGTGGCGCCAGTGTTCGGCAGGCCTCGCCGTTATCAGTGTGCTCTAGGGCAGCTGTGGCTACATCGTAGCTCACCACTAGCGGCGGGTGACTGATTGTGTTGTGAAGTGCCTTGGGGGGGTTGTAGAACCCTAAGAATGCGCTTTACACATGTAGTCCATTTACCATAAAAGGGATCATCCCCTTGTTTAAAGGGTAGTTTTACTAGAGTTGGGCGGCTGTGGCTCATGTCTCCACTTCATTTGTGCTTCAGGGTATTTCTGACTTTTAGATTATAAAACCAGCGCGTTGGTTGCATCACATTTGTTTACAAAGGTTTTTATTTTCTTCAGGTTTACTAAGAACCTTTCCCCAGACAAGATCAACCTGAGTACGCTGAAAGGAGAAGGGCAGCTGTCCAACCTGGAGCTGGATGAGGAAGTCCTACAGAACATGCTTGATCTTCCCACTTGGCTGGCTGTCACTCGGGTCTTCTGCAACAAGGCTGCCATCAGGGTGCGTCATCGTCATCGGCTCATGTAACCCAGTTGTGTAGCTCAGCTCAAGTGGAAGTCTGCAAAAATCTCTGAGCTGGTGCACATCAGCTACATAAATCGTTCACTTTATTGTGTCACAGTTCATTCTCAGAGCCCTCTCCTTGTGCGTTTATCTTGACTCTGCGCGTTTGCAGAGGAAATGAGCGGTGCAGAATCACAGAGATGAGCCCTGCTAGGATTCTCCAGACTACCGCTGGTCTTTAGTAAAGGACGGGCGAGCCGTGATTCAGAGAGACATGAAAGGCCAGAGGATGGGGTGATCCTCAGATATGCTGGCAGATGAACGCAGAGCTGTTATGGTGGCTGTTTGTGTTCCCTAACAGTCCCAAATAAGACTGCATGTTTGAAATCAGCTTCAGATCAGGAAGCAAATATGATCTGCGATTATTTGGTGTTTGTATTTAGTTCCAATCAATCAATCAATCAAATTTATTTATAAAGCGCTTTTCAAACAAAGTGCTTTACAAAATGACCCCAGATTCCCATAACAGGTTAAAAACATTAACAGACATATGCAAGCACACACACACACACACAGACACACACACACACACACACAAGTAAAAATTATATTTGGCTGAGTCCAGATGAGCCAAGTAAGGTAACGCAAGGAAACGCCATCAGAGGAGCCGTCTATCCCGGCAGCATCAGGTCTTCCACACTAAGTCAGGGCGCTCAGTGGAGGGGGAGCATAGACCCCCACCTATAGAGCGCCCAGGAAGCTACAGTCGACCGCTCCCGGGGCAGAGGGCCCCTACAGAGGAAACACTGGATTAAAATGAGTAAAAATATAATAAAGAGCTAATATAAATGACTAAAGTTAGAAAATAAGTAATAAATAAAATCATATAGACAGTAAAATAATAATATTAAATAATTAAACAGTGCTAAAATATAATCATATAAAACATGCAAAGCAAGTAATAAAATGTAATCATGTAAAACGAGAAATAAAACTGGAAAATATTTAGATAAAAGCTAGCCTAAAAAGATGGGTCTTGAGCCTGGACTTAAAAACATGAACGTTCTCTGCGGCCCTGAGGTCCTCTGGCAGCTCGTTTCCAGTGATATTTGGTCACGCTTTGCAATAATTATTCATCAGCGAAAATCTGAGCCAACCTCCAAGGTGAAGAATGGACAAACACAGTCAGAAATGGAGCTAAAGAACAGTTCTGGTGCCAGGAAAGGCTCATGAAAGTTTTACACCAAGAACAGTAACACTGAGTGTTTAAACGTATGGGAGATGATGCTGGTGTATAGTGATAGATGCTTGTGCTGCAGCAGGCTTCAGAACGGAGGCTAACAGATGATTATCTCCTAAACCACAGGATGGGTTTTACGTAAAAAATGTTGTTCCTCTTTTTTTTTTTTGTAGCCTGGGCTCAGGTGGAATATGGTACACGCTAGCAATTTTTAAAACCTTTTGGAATAGTGACCAGGTAGCAAAGAAAGAAAACAGTAACATTTTATGAAACAGCCCGTTAAGGAGTAAACCGTGTTTGTCTGCCTCCGTGCCGTGCCGCTGTGCTCAGTGGAGTGGAGGGGTTGAGAGTAACACTGGTGACCCTGTTGTCTTTTCAGATACAATGGACAAAGCTGAAAACAAGCCCCATTTGTCTGGTAAGACTGGTGCTACTGGGATTGATTAATCTCCCCTGGTTTTAGTGATTTAGTGAGTCATTCTGTGTAATGTTTGTGGTTTCAGCCATTAGCTAACATTTTTCATGCTATTATTAGTAAATATTAGGCTTTTAGTCCTGCATGCCCACGTGTATTTGATGTGCCCTGTGCAGTTCTTGGATAAGGTGGAAGTTGAGATGAGGACTTGTGAAGAGCCGCGTCCTCCCAACGGGCCCTCTCCCATCGCCATAACAGCAGGCCAGAGGTAAACTCGGACACCTCCGGTAGAGACAAAACCGTAACGAATCGGATGTTCAGTTCGCATGTCCATTTGTGTTGCAGTGAGTACGGCTTTGCTGAGAAAGTGGTGGAGGGCATGTCCGTCAGGATCAACACCATCACCATAAAGGTGCAGGCTCGAGCCTTCCACGCCTCTTTTGAGCTTTGGCAGCTGCAGGGCAACAGCCTCAACCCCAAGTGGCAACGCAGCGACCTCCGATACACCCGCATCACCGACCCCAAGAGAGGAGAGGTACGGCGCTTTAAGAACACTGTGATAGTCGCGTCCAACGGAATACACCGCTCCTCTTATTACCCCGGCAGTAACTCATTTAATGGAGTCAGATGTGTTCATTAGCGGAGGGGACGTTACCCAGCAGGACTGAGGGTGTGTAATCCACTTAAAACAGAAATGTGTGTGCTGCTTCTCTTCTTTTCCGCTCCACCTAACCGTAGGAACACAACAGCTCTGTTGCTGCTTGGTGCTACTGATTGTAGTTTGAAGATCTGATATGATTGCTGCTTCAGGTGTTGACATTCAAAGAAATTAACTGGCAGACACTGCGAATCGAGGCAGACGCCATCGAGAGCGATAATCAGGACCTCAGTAGCACGCCGCTACGCCTCATCACCAACCAGGGGCGCATCCACATCGCTCTGAAACGCAGAGTAAGGACATGATGAGGAGAGGGGGCTGATGACACCATGAGCCATGCCTTTTCACAAGTTTGTCTGACTTTGTTCTGTTTAGATAAAGGACTGTAACGTGCTGGCTTCCAAGCTGCTTTTCATTCTGGATGACCTGCTGTGGGTGTTGACAGACTCTCAGCTCAAAGCCATTATTCATTATGCCAAATCGCTCAGCGAGGCCATGGAGAGGTCCGCACAGCAGAGGAAAAGCATGACGGCTGAATCCTTGCAGGTGTGGTCTCCGCCAAACACTCCGATTTATGTTCAAATGGTAGATTTAAAATTTAAAAAGCTTCATTTGAGCGACAACAAAGTTTGTGGAAATGATGTGTGTATAGGTTCAAACTGAAGTTTGATCTAAATATTTGTTTCACAGCATCGTGTTTTCTTGATTTCTATAAAATAATCAGTCATTGTTGTGTGTGTGTCGTGTCTGTGGTCATAGACGGCTCCGCCATCTCCCAGCATTCATAGCCAGTGGACAGAACCTGCACCTTCATCCACAAGCACCACCACCACCAACAACATAAGTCAATACTTTGATCTCCACGATGTCAAAGAGTCTTCCTACCACACCTTCATATCACGCCTGGACTTACACATATGCAACGACACGTCTTCACTGGATGAAGGTGGGATTGTCCTAAATAAACAGCTACATGTGCTAAAGTTGTGTCCCAAAACCCAGAAAAATGTTTGGTATTTGAAGGATTATTACTGTCGAGCAGGTTTTAAACAATTATCATGTGACTGAATAGATGAGCCTCCCCCGCCGGGCCTGCAGGGTGCCATGCAGCTGACCTTCAGGAAGCTGGGCTTTGACTACTATCCCAGTCACAGACCTGGTGAGGACGATCACGGGCTCCCTCTCTCTTTAATTTACCCACACACACACACACACACACACACCCTCCGGCCGTGCTCTCCCTCTGTAACAACATCCATTCAAGACTTAAAGGCACGAGGGAGCACAGTCGGTGGGATTTTAAGTCTATATTTATATGTATTTAATAAGAATAAGGTCACGGTGCAGGATTACATACACATATATAACATTTTAAAGGATGAGAATTATCACACAGCCTTCAGATAAAATATAAAATTAAGAAAATTGTTATGAAATTACATTTAGGTAAAAAACAAACATAAAATGATTTATTTTTATTTTAACATTGCAACACATTAAATACTGTCTTAGCATGCAATGTGTTCCCGATTATTTCGAATGTCAGATTTCCATCATAAATCAGAATATGGAACACTGACTGGGTGTGTGGTTGTTGTTCTGGTTCAGCTGATGGATGTCGACACTGGGAACGCCACAGTGGAGCCATGGAGGCGCAGGCCCAGTGGACTGCGAGGCTGCTGCAAGAGTACCAGAGAAGAGCTGAGGCCTGTGGGTTTCCTGGACCGCATGCTGAGGGTCCTCCATCAGCCAAGGAGTCCCCAGCAAAGACGGCCCAAAGTAGGACTTCATGTGGTTCTTATTCCAATAAACAAGTCATTTAGTAGGTTTTCTCTCAGCCTTTTAGCTTTATTACATTACATCTCCCCACCTGATGTCACTTTTCAGTTTTAGCCCACCTTATCAGCTCTGTCTCCATGACAACTTGGTAAACTATGTCTCCGTGTTATTTGGTTAAAGCTGATGGAAAAATGGCCTGTAGATAAAAGTGGGTCTGAAGCTTTGCTGATACTCCGGTTTTATTAAAGGTGCAATATTCCATCTCAGAAAAAGTCTGACCGCCTTCATCAGGCTCCCTACAGTCACAGAATCTGATGGCTGCAGAACATGGTACAATATCTGCTCACGACACACACACACACGCACACGTAGCCTAGTGAACCAGACCAAATTCTTGCTTTGCAAAGTTTGGTCTAGGCACGCTCCATTGCAACCTCAGCAGCTCCTACCCGGACTCTGGCTAGCCAATCACAGCTCTCTAGAGGGGGTTCAAACACATAAAGAGCTGTGATTGGTCCATAATGGTGGATCAATCATAGTGCTCTATCTGCTTAGTGAACAAATCACAGAGCTTTATCCGCTTTGTGGGCCAATCAGGGCACTCTATATGCCTGGTGGGTGGGATGATGCAACAGAGTGAAACAAGAGTATGTCACATTCATTGTCCAGTGGAATGCGGAGATCATTTGAAAGACAACGGTAGAACCCGCCCCACAACCGAGAGCCGAGAGAGATAAATATATTTATTTAGTCTGGCTTGCCAGGCTAACACACACGCACACACATGCAAACATGCAGTTCTGCTGAGCTGCCATGGGAAACATTTCCAGCACTCTGAACTGGACCTCTTCCCACTCACTTTATGCCACCCCTAATTTAGTGTGCTAGCATGTGTAGCATGTGGTGTTTTTGTAGTGAAAAACAAGGCCGTGGTTTATTCTTAACTATAAAATCGCAGCAGCTCAGCGTTACCGAGGATCTGGGGATTCTGCACCAACAACATAACCGAACTCCATCCTCTACCTGCACACGGCGACACTCACGCTCATTCTCACGTAAACAAGAGAGTTGAGACTTAGCTGTGTTTCCAGACAATAACTCCTAAATGTTCTCCAACAAGAGCAGAACCAGACTCTGAACAGAAACAGCTCTTTATGTGAGATTTGCAAACATAGCCATGACACCAGACAGCTCAGCTAGCATCTCTTCCTGTTCAGCAGCTCTCCTCTGAGTGTTTCATTCACACAGGTGTTGTGTGCTCTAAGGTGAGGGACGTGCAGAGGTGACGTTTGACCATGAAGTTATGTATATAGCTAGGACTAGCGCTGGATTGTATGAGTTTTTTCCACATTTTAGTGTCTATTCCAGTTTATTTACTTTTTTGACAACATTTAATTTGTTGGTGGCCACCCCAAAACTCAGATCGTACCTTTTCATTAAAAAGTGATTTCTGCTTTGTCGTTTTTATCGTGAACTTTACAGAAGTGTCACTTTTAAAGAACTCTGTTACATCTATACAAACAGAAACTCAGCAGCTGTATGTCTGTCTCAGTGCATAGGTTTAAGATATCAGTGGGATTTAATTTAGTAGATTACCCATCTGTGTTGATGCTTTAGATGGACAGTCCAGTCCCAAGCTGAACTCATCCGACAAAGACCAGGCAAGCAAGCGATGCTCAGCGACAGCGACCTTAAATCCATCCCTTAAGAGGCTTCGGTCCAGCTGTGTGGTGATCAGAATGGACGATGTGGACATTCACCAGGCAAGTTTTCCCCTCAGTCTGATTTTCTTGTCCTGTTCTAGTAGAAACACCCCAAATAAAGGCTCTTTAACAATTTCTCAGTGGAAGCGATCTAACCTCTGAGGAGGTTAGAGCTCATGCTGACAGTTGGATGGTTTTGTAATCATTGCCGCTAATCCGAGAGTAAAAGTTTGAGAATGAAGGCTTATAGCTGTAAAATTAAAATCCACTTTTTGGAGTCTTGCACCTGACGTAGTCTCGCAGTAAAGCTGTGGCTCATGACGCTTTGCTGGGGATCTGGGGTTACATCGTGAAATAGTATTGTAGTATTTTCTTTTAAAAATGTGCAGTCTCCAGAAAAAGGCTCGCCCAGTCAGCAGTCTTCTCACCCGAAAGGGCTTACGCGTAAAAAAAACCCCGTTTACTTCGAACCAGGTATCGGTTTTGCTTGATCTGATGTGATGCGCTCATGTGTAAAGGCTGCTGGGTACGCAGTTGAGTTTCTGGTGAACTTGGTGAAAAAGAGGAAGTACTTTTCTCATAATAGTAACGTCTAGGTTATCATTTCTGTTTATTCTGTTAATTATATCACACACCTGTAAAATACACCAGAGGGAAAAAAAAACCCTAATTATCCATTCTTATGTCCTCTGAAACCGCTCGTGAGCTAAACCATTAAACAAGATTAGCCTGACTCTGAATTTCCTCAGGGGGATACTTCACAGGTTTCACCATGAAGCAACCTGATATTTTAAGGGTGATCACAAGTCTAAGTCATGCTTAGTTCCCTGTTTGATAAATGAAGAGTTACTCCCCCACAAAAACAAAACTCTGTGAATTCCTGGTTTCCACCTACAGTTTCTAATAGGAAGTCATCTGTTGTCTCATTCTGGTGGTTCTGTTTTCGGTCTCCTCTCTGACACAGATGAGTGAGAAGACGTCCAATTAGAGGTGCTGAAAAAAATTGATTTAAAGTCTGAATCGGGATTCTTATTTATAAAGATTCAGAATCGATTCCAAGAACTCAAATATTTGGCGTGTTGCAGGTCTGAGATGCACTTTTTTGATCTTTGTTAGGAGAGTCAGTACTCCGTTTACTTTTGTGGTCCCATAAATTGAGATGATTTATGTTTGAATCTGCTGACAGTGTATTGAATGTAATTTTTTCCATATTCAGAAATTTGAGATATTCTCATATTTATTTTCTAAGTTGATAAGTGAGTACTCAGGATTACTCATGTAACTTGTTTCTACACTTACTTGAAAAGTATTTGATCGTATTACTTTCAAAGCTACTGTTGGGTAACTACAGATTTGTTATATTTTACAAGGTAAGCAAAAATAAACGTTGCCTTTTGGTCAAAAGATTGCTTCTGTTTACAGTTTTAGAATCGCTTTATTTTACATGTAAATTAGCGTTTTTGGAGCAAGACCAGTTTAAAGTCAAATACAAACGTCCCATAGCTTTAACTAACTTGTACAACAAAGTGGTTCATCCTGGAGCGGACCCTCTTTGTTAATACTGATTGTGAATCGATTTAAATTGAGAATCGATTCTGAATCGAATCGGCACCCCAAGAATCTGAATCGAATCAAATCGTGAGTTGCTCTAAGATTCACATCCCTACGTCCAATTGTAATGACATGTCCATCCCTGTCCTGCTTTCCACACACTCAGGTGTCTACAAGGGGCCGTCAGAACAAGAAACCTCATTCTTTAATGTCCTGTAACCGGAAAGCTCTGCGTCTGCCTGATAAGGTACCGGCAGTTCACCTGCAGTTTACTGAGTACTACTTTCCAGACAACTCAGGTGTGCCAGGTACGTCCAAGCTCAGTTCTTTGCTGTACTTCTTGTTGTGTTTTGGTTTGTAGAAGGAAATAAGTGCATGAATGAATTCCACATAATCTGATCTAGATTTTGTCAGCTTGTATTTATTTTGGAAGAGTTAGTTACAGTAATCAGATACTTGACTTGTGTTGATTACATTGTAGAGAGACCTTCCACATCTGATTGAATAGCTCGTATAAGAGTTGATGGTTAACAATCTGCTCAGTAAAACTAGAATTTCCTTGTTTGTTTTTTACTGTTTAGTCACTCGGTGCGTTTTCATGTGCATCAGAAACCTGAATTGTTGCCCTAAATAGGCTGACGTTGTGTTCTTAAATGCGTGTTAAAGTGTTAGTCTTGCTGAAAGCGAACTGGTCCTAATTGTGCTGAAGCACCAAATCAGCTGTGCTGCAGTGATGCTGTTGTCCATTCCTTCGGCCATTGTGCATACCATGTTTTACCTTCATCTGCGTCACTCCCACCAGCGTTTGGCCCAATCTCAATACTCGCACCGTGTCCTGCGGTCTTCAGCAAAGTGCACTTGGAGAAAGTGCGCTGTAAGGCTTCGAGTGCGCTGTAAGGCTTCGAGTGCATAGTACACAAGTGTGCAAATAGTTGCCGAATTGAGACGGGGAGCATTGCGTCATCGACCGCAAAGCATGTCGGGATGCTGGTCGCTGTGATGTTCTTTAGAAAAACCTTTATTAACAACTTTCAAACAACCAAACAATTATTTGAAATAAATTTACATTCATTGCTGCTTTGTCGAAAGCATTCAGAGCATCAACTAATCATCCTAAAATTAACTACTTTCATTAGAAAATACATATTTTCAGAAAGAGCCGTTTCTCCCGTAGCAATGGCAATGGATTGTGGTTAATACCCATCACCCAATGTAGGAGCCATATGTGTCATTTCTTTTTACGCACTTGAGAGGAGGCTTTGCCTCATGTTATTGGTTAATTGCTTGTGGAAGCACCAGTCTACTTAAGCCAACACAGATTGGACTCAGGTGTTGCTGGATGGGACAAACAGTTTTTTTTACTGTGTGGCGAGGACTGTGGCTGTGTGTAAAGGACTCTGCGGACTGTCATTGGGGCAAGTAACGCATTCACTGAAACCCACTTTAACTGCTGTAAATGGATCATGGACATTTTGGAACAAGACAACATAATAAACATCATCAGAAATAAACTCAAGCTGCATTTCTTTAAGCACACGTAAATACCACCCGTAACATCAACCAAGTAGTGCCAGTGTATAGGGCACTGGCGCTACACCCAAGTCCGTATCGCTGCATACTTGGGTGAAGTGCGGATCAAGGGTGCAAAAGGGGCGTGACTTCCGCACTTGAGAATTGGGACACCCTACGCACTCGCACCCCTGGTTGGGATCGCGCAATTGAAGGGCGCAAGGGTGGAAGTGCGAGTATCGAGATTGGGCCTTTGTTTACCATTTGTGTTGCTATAAGCTAAACAGAAGAAGGCAGACACAAAAGGGTGCATGTCGCCACCTACTGTACCGGAATGGAACAGACTTCTTTTGAGGGCTCAGTCTTCTAACTTGCGTGTAAACCAGGATAAAGGCTCCCAGTTTATTACTTTAGATGGAACTTGATCAACTTAGATGCGCATGTAAACACACTGAGTAATGATGATCGGGACTGTTTTTGTGTCTCTGACTGATGTATGTTGCTGTTTCCTTCTCCCAGTGCCAACTTCAAGCCTGTACGCCCAGTTAAACGGCCTCCAACTTTGTGTAGACCCAGCCAGCATGCTGTGGATCAATCTGTTCTCCAGAGGTCTTCTGCATACTTTGGACCAGGTCAAAGCTTTTTACCATTTGCAAGACAGTGGTAAGCCTGAAGAGCATGTGGACCTCCGTCTGGATGCAGCTCAGCTTAAGGTGAACACTCGGCCCTGGTTGTTTTCTCTATCTCTAGACTTGCTTTGAGTCTTCACAAAAAAGATGTTGTTCCTTTTTCTAGGTGATCATTCCCCTGGATTCATCTATTCTGGACCATCCAGAGCGTCCGCAGTCCCTCTCTGTTATCGTACCCCAGATGGTCCTAAGCAACACCCGCCACTGCCCTCATGGCTCCAGATCAGACCTCAGCAGCGCCTGTGAGAATTTCGCCAGCAGCCCTTTCTTCCAGCCTGAACCTCCTTGTCCATACCCCAGAGATCTGAATACTTTCCATCCCATTCCTTCCACGTTCCTTCAGCACTCCCAGGAAGCAGAACCCCAGCAGAACATGAAGCAGCTACGCTCTCAGGATGTCTGGGGTCTGAGCATGTCCCGTGTTACTCTAGGCTTTGATGGAGCGAGGAGATTCCCCAAAGGAAGAACCCAACCTTTTATCGAGCCCTTTGCCATGTCTGTGTGGATGTGTCAGCCGGGTCAACGCAGAGGTGAAACGCTGCCTCCCGCCCATAGTCCCGATGGAGCCAACCACAACTTCTCAGAACAGGAACCTCATCGACACGAAGCTTCTCTCGCCTCTTTTCACTTCCTGGCCCACACCATCACCCCGCTGAAGATGTGGCTCAATCACTATCAGTATGTCGCCCTGCTGAGGATGAAGGACGCCATGGCCCGGCTGGGTGCCGAGCTGAGCCAGGATCTGCGAGGCATTAAACAGGCTTGTGGTAAGAAGACAAAAGCACCCACGGTTTGTCTGGCTCTGCTAGTGGACTCTGTGGAGTTGGGTCTGCTTTTGCCACCAGCTTCATCTGAGCCAGAAGAAGAGATCCCTCACTCCCCAGAAACAGACAGTCCCAGCATATCAGACTCGGACCTCTCGCCAGCCCACTTCTCTGTTGACGTGGTCCTGGAGGACGGCGGGTTAGAAAACGGCCTCTCCTCCATCACTACAGCTGTCACAGTGATTGATGAACAAGATGGCATGGTGGAGGTGGCGTATGAGGCTGTGGAGGAGGAGCTGGTAAGCAAAGTGACAGCAAAGGAGGACACCAGCGGGCTCTCGCCTCCCCTCTCACCTGGAGCCTCTCCTGTCATCTCCAGAGAACCTTCAACCTTCAGCCTGGAGGGAGAGCTGTCCAGTGCAATCACTGTCACCAAGGACGTCACCAAAGATGCCATTAGTGCCTCTCTGGACCTGACCAAGGGGGCGTTCTCCATAACAAAAGACGCATTCAGCATGCTGAGCCGTGGTTCAGGCATGAGCAAACTGTTCAGTGCCCAGACCAGGTGGGTTCTCCTCTGCTGGAGCGTTTGGGTGTGTGAAGTCATGCCCTCCATCCTAATGACCCAGTATGTGTTCACAGGGAACTGATTCAGCATTCAGAAGAATCCTATCTTTCTACACCCCCCCACACCATCAGCCAGTTACATTCCCAGCAATCCTTCGACAGCGCCATCTTGGATGGCAGCCTGCCTGATGAAAATCTGTCTGTTGGTAGTGATTTCAGCGACAACTTTGAGGTTCTCATGGACTCAGGTGTGTAAATGCTGCCAAGTGTGAATGGAAACGCCTCTGAGCAACGCAAACGAGATTGTGTGACGTTTTCAGAATCAGGAATAGAGTCCTCACGTCCCAACAACACGCCTGCAGGCAGCCGAGGCAGCCCAGCGCCGGGAACGGAGGGAGGCTCATCAGCTGATCTGAGCAGCTCCCCCTCCCAGAGTACGGAGGACGTGTTCCAGGACATGGTGAGCTACTGCTGTCACAGAGCTCACAGCAGTTGGATAACTTGCTATTCTCTTTCTAATGGGAACAGAAATGTGACGAGATGTTCTCCAGTCCTCAGTGTTGCTGCTGGTTCTGAGTGGAACAGCTTGTACCCTGGAGCTTCACGGAGAGGACCAGCTAGTGGCTGTTCAGGCTCAGAGTCTGACCCCCGTGCAGATGGGTAACGTCAGGCAGGCCGATGTTCTGGCTGGTCTCGCACAAGGTAAAAAGAGTCCTACGGTTTATATTCAGTCCATCTCTACCCCTTAATTACACACACACACACACACTCGCACACATTAACAAGCTTTACATTCTGGGATTCGCCTGGAACAATCTGAACCTGTCGACTAAAACGTATCAATTCTCAACCTCTGAGAAATAATTCATTCTAGAGAAATAAAAGCATGTGAGCAGGTTAACGTGCATCTTCTTTTCTCTTTAATCGCTGACTTTTTCTTGAAGGTTATCCATGTTTTGTGTTGGAAATCGGGTTAGTGAAGAGAACAAACCGTATTATTCTGCATAAACCAGAAAGCTGCTCCCGTATTATGAAATATTTGCTTTACCCTAAACCTGGGCTGGATCTGGTGCATTTATGTTTCTGCAGCTCCTGGGGACCGGGTCTTTGTCAAGGACCTGCAGCGGAACAGGGACTCTCCAGCGTTTCTCATGCGAGCAGAAGCGGGTCCGTCTGCTGCTCGGCGCTCTGCTCTGGCCGAGTCGTCTGGGTTCCTGGATGCAAGAGTTCAGGACTGCCAGGTGGAGTTATTAGCCTCAACGGTGGCCAGCATCAGTCCGTTCCTAGAGGATGAGTTCAGCGTGGATGGCCAGCCAATGAGGCTGCACTTACAAAACGTCACCATCACCTTGAAGGTGAGTCAGTCATATCCCAATAGTTTGATGTTCTGACCTCCACCGATCAGACAGCTGACTGGTTTTCCTGACTCCATTTTCTTTTCCCTAGGATGACGGTCCCAGAATCTACCCCACAGCTCCTCAACCGGTCCCAGCTAAGTTTGTTATCGACCAGCTGCTCCTTGAGCGAAGTGATGATGGCCTAATGAGGGTCAAAAGTGAGTAGAGTGACTTAGCTGCATCGGAGGTCTCAGATCTGCAGACAGGAGGTCATGGTTGTTTCCTTTCTGACTGTAGCTGACCTTCAACCCTCAGCAGATGTTCCTGTGGTGGAACATGTGTCTGGTTCGGCTGGTTGCAACAGCTTCAGCCCAGTCCAACACCTCAGTGAGGTAGGAGAGCGAGTTTTTCTGCTACTGTGGTTTTGCCCCTAATTAAAGACGTCCTCCAAACATGGTTACAGCGATTGTAGCTATGATGTGATACGATTATTTGTTAATTGTCTCAGCTGGGCTGAAACCGTCTGATCTTTTCAGGAAATGTTTTTTTTTTTTTTAAAACACGTTTTGTTGAATATAATCCTCTCTTCTTAAGCCCTTTCTGACTCTGCCTTTTGGTAATCCATGAAACCACAAACGAAAATCATAAAACTGGACAAACAAGGCTTTTGTGTGACTGTCACATTATTGCAGAGTCAGAGTTGTTTTATTCATCTGCAGATTGTTCCAGATCCTAAATCTAACACACGGTACCCCTTATTTAATAATAATGAATAAAAAGTGAATTTGGTGGCTAGTTGTCAAAGTGTGTGTGTTCTCTTTAAAGCTTCACAGTTGTGAGTTTGACGCTCATTTCTCTGATCTGTAGGGTTGAACCTACGTCTAGTTTCAGTCGTAACTCCGGTGTTTATTTTAAACCTCAGCGGGGGTGGGGGGTGGTGGGGGGGTCTGAGTACTCGGGACTGGGTGATGGTGTTGCATCTACACCTGTTTGTGGAGCTGTGTGCAGCTTCAGGTCAAGGTGTCGCCTGCCGCTAGCCAATCCCTTAATGCTCTGTTTGCAGATCCCGACTCTGGATTCACAGCTCTACAAGGTGCAGGCCGCCCTGACTCAGGCCCTCAGAGACAAAGAGCGCCTCCTTCTGGAAGTCAGGCGGTACGACCCCTCGTTTACCCTCTGATCCCCTCTGGTTAGTCGTGGGGAGAACGTCGGCTCCTTCAGACCATCTCTGGACAACAGATGCAAGGAAATGGAAGATGAACCCAAACGGTCTCTTCCAGCTTGTCCACACAGCTCCTGTAGGTACATTAATGGTAGTTTTATTTTTCTTTACTTCTGAATGTCAGACTAAATATTCTCAAACAGTTTTATATCTGGTAAAGATCAGTGTGCACTGCAGTGTCTTTGTGTGGTTTCAGTGTAAAACTCAGCATGCCAAATGAACAAGCTTTAATTCTCTCCACTTAGTTATTTGTGTCACTGCTAGACAGCTGCTAGCCCATCAGGCACAGAGCGCAACGATCAGAGTTAAGATGTAGCAGAGTATTTTAGTTTGCTTTATTCTGACTGGTCTTCGTGTGTCAATGCAGTTTATCTGTACAGAGTAAAAAAAAGCACGTTTTATTTATTTTTTTTCATGTATTAGCAGGTCAGGTGTTTTGTGAAAGGTAGAGAAAAAATGCACTTTTTTTTATTCATGAAGAACCTGAAAGAGTCAGTTTCGTTTGTTGCTTCATCGCCAGGTGGAGTAGTTCTCACTTCCTCACAAAGCAGGTGAATTATCTCCTGGATGTGTTATCTGATGACTCGTGAATCATTTGTGTTTATTTTAATGCTGTGAAACAATCTGCTCTGTGGAGGAAACATCCTGTAAACACAACGCCGCTGAAGAGGTTTCAGATGAAACTTCTTCCTCTGGGTCTCCATAATGTGACTTTTGTAGCTTACCAGGAAACGACGATAGTGTTTTAACTGTTTCTCTTTGTTTCACTTGTGCGTGCGTGTGTTTAAATGTTTGTTTACTAAATCAGATTTACTATCATGAGTTGAAACCATATCAGTCATTTTAAAAAGAGAAAGAGAAAATGTTAGATTTAACCCAGTTACAGAAAAGCAGACTTCCTGTTTGCTCTGACATCATGTTTTTCACTGTCAGCTGTTTCGATTTAAACAGTGACGGATTCATCAAAAAAGTTGGATAGGAAAGATTAATCCTACAAGTGTCATGTTGTTGAATCGGGTTTATATAAGAACTACTTTATGTTAAATGTTTGAAGATGTTTAGTTGTAAAAAAACAAACAAAAAAAAAACCATAAAGGTAACAGGAGACACCTGCTGGCAGGAACCTGCCAGTTATTTTCTGCTGAGTCTCAGAAGGTAGAAATAATAAATTAGCATAAAAAAGACGATTGTAATTATTTTAGCAACATGACACCTTCACCTAAAGCACGTAGAATAATAGGAGACACTGTTGTTTAAATGCAGGGTATCTGCAGGTTTAAGGGAGCCAAATTTAAGACTTTTTAAGACCTTTTTTAAGGCCACTTTGACCAAATTTAAGCTTTTTTTTCAATTAAATTTAAGCTATAATTTCCAGCTATTGCCTGGAAACGGTGCTAACCACGTTGCGTATGTGGGATTAGCCATCTAGTTACCATTAAACTTTTTTTTTCTTGGTGAACATCAATCACGTTACATTGTAACAACAACCAAAACTCAACAAAAACAAAAAGAACAATTCAGTAGATAAACCAAAACCTTATAACTAGACCATTAGAAATATTCTAATCAGTAGAAACAACCGGATTTATAAGATTAACAAGACACGATAAAGAAGTAAAAATAAAATAAATACAATATTAATATTAATACTACTAATAACACAATAATAATAATACATATTTAAAGACAGAGGACCTTAGTTCACAGGATCTTCACTAAATGTGACAAGTGTAACAGCCTGTACAGTCTTTAGCTTTTTAAGAGATTTACAAAATAGCAGTTACCATTAAACTTGCACTTCCCCATGGCGCAAGCTCCCACTAGCTTAACCAGCTAATGTGCTCATCTAAAAATAGCCCCCTTTCACAACCAACTGAATGTGTATGGTTCCGCTTATGCAAATGTCATACACAAAAAATGTTGAACACAAACTAGAAATTCACAAAAATTTCATAGAAATAAGTCTTGTTTATTGGGTCTTTGGTGATTTAAGACCTTTGGAAACTGTATTTAAGGATTATTTGTCATTTTTAAGGATTTTTAAGGCCTTAACTTTGGAAAAGCTAATTTAAGACTTTAGGACCCGCAGATACCCTGTAAATGATAAGTTCATTCCTGTGTGTTGTACATAAACCGTCAGCTGCATGCAAACTCCAAATCTCTCCCATATGAGTGTAACCTAGAAGAGAGGCTGCCCGTTTACCTCGGTATCTCTCGACTGGCTGCTGGTGTTTCTCTTCCTGCATGGCCTTAATAAGACAGACGTGTAAATGTGCCACGCTGTATCCATGTAGCTCTAACGTTCCCTCTGTGTAATGTAGCATCTCTATTCCTGACAAACCGGTGCTTCACATTAGATTTCTCCATAACCTGCCACACTAGACCTCCTGTGCAATCAGAGGCAAGTCAGGGGTTTCCATGATGATGTGATCGAACCCACTGAGCCATGCACACTTGAAACAAATGCATGAACAGAGAGTAAAGAGCCACTGCACAGTGTTCTCTGTGCTTCAGATGCACGAGGTGACGATGTCATCGATGACTCCTGGAGGCCAGTTCACTGGAACTTGCACTTGTTTTACTGTAAATCACTTTAGATGAATGCAGAAGTCTTGGTGAGATATTTAGTAGTGCAGAGAATCTGGACAGTATTGTTTTCTTTTGTCGGCTGTGTAACTTTGAATTTTGTATTCATCACTTCATTAAGACTAAAACTGGTTCTGTGAACCAAAGCTAGTAAATAAAAGAAATCCATGAATTGGAACACATTGTGGCTGCTCCTGTGTTTTTACTAGCTGTCCCTGCTGCATGCTTTCATGCTTTCATGTGGTTTAAATTCAATCACAAAGTGATACGTTCCCACATATAGTTAAATTATCGTCTTTTATTTCCATGAATCAGAATTCAAAATAATTGCCTTTTATTATTTCTGAAGAATTCCAACTAAAAGTGAGTAAAAAAGATTTATTTACAGATTGTTTCATTGAGTATTTGTTAATAAACCTCAGAGCGCTGTGTCCCAACTCAGAAGGTCGGAGGGCGGTGGCTTTGTGGACGCTGGCACCGAACTCCTGGGACAGTTCAATCCCCATTTTCCTCCTCCTGTCAGTGAAACAGAATGTTTTTGTACTTGGTGTTCGGGATCTGGTCCCGGGTCTTCAGCCTCCTCACGGCTTCCCTCATGTGCTTCGGCTGGAGGGGCGGCGTGTCGCCCCACTTCTCACAAACATCCAGAGCTGGAAAAGGGAGAACTCTTAATTCAGTTAAATGAACGGCATGTTTGTGTTTGATTGGTCCTCCGCTTTACCTTCTTCTACAATCTCTCCAACAAACACCTTGGCAATACCAGACATCGCAATGACCACATTTTGGGACACCGACGATCCTGTTATGGACTGGATCAGCTAAAGAAAGACCGACATCAGAGACTTTAGTTTAAGGGGGGAAAAAAAGCCCTGATGCCTGTTTTCCATGTAACAGCTCACCCTTTTAATAGCAGCTTTTGGGAAGGCAGAGCGTCTGTACATCTCATAACGGTTCAGCTGCTCTTCAGAGAAGGACGACACCAGCACTCTGAAGGAGAAGCAGGTTTAATCTTTGGCTAAAGATCTGAAGTGATGAACCTCTGAAGGTACAAAGATCTTACTGCATCTTTTGTATTTCGTCCTCATCGACCTTGTGGCGCTTCTCTTTTTTCTTCTCTGGCTCCACCTTCAGCCTCTTAGAAGCAGGCTGGCCAGAGGTTCCCTCATCCTCGTCGTCTCCTGCTGTCGTTTCCTTTGCAGAGGGAGAAAAACGTGGAGTGATGCTACAATCAGGCACAACTAAACCGCAGTGCCCAAACTGATAAATATTTGTTCAATTTTCCAGATTTCTGCACACACAACTCTTTCATCTACATTTTCACACAGGTTTAGAAAGTGAACCGTAGTGTTCAGTTACTACATTAGCTGCTTTTATACAAACACTGTTTGGGTTCTTAACACAGACTGTTCATTTTGGGGTAACGGGCCTTAGCAAAGTGTTTTGTTTGTACTTAAATTATCGTTTTTAGGTTTAACACAAAGATTGGAGAAGAGCAAAAAGTTCACAACAAATGGCTTAAAGGGTGATTTGGTTTAACCACCTGAACAAAAAATGTGTTCTCTGATGTTTTATGAAACCAGAAATCACATTTTATGCGACATGTACCAGATAGTGGGTTTTTGTTTAATGATGACCACAAAGCTGATTTATTTATTAGAAAATATGTCCCGTAAGAGTCTAAGCAAACTACAAGTTTCTATCTGCTGTAAATATAAACACATAAACTATCCAGTTGTCCTGTTATTAGTAATAATGTGTCCAGGATTAGATGCAGGGGATCAGGCCCAAACCATCACACCACCACCACAAATCTTCACTTTGATGTAACAAGATACCTACTTTGTTCATGCAAGCATAAACATTTACACACCTGAGAACACAGCTAAAATAAAGCTGATCTTAATTAAAACAGGTTTTAATGTAAGGAAACTTCAATTATGGTTCGTCTCTATAGATTCATGTTTTACTATTTAGAGCTATCAACTCCTGTCAATGTTTCCGCGCACCATTATGGTTAGCTTCACTCACAGCTTTAACCAGAGGTGTGGGCTGATCCTGCACGCTCGGTTCTTTATTTTCTTCTGTAGGTTTTTCTGAGACGAGTTCATTTTCAGGTTGATCCTTCCTAACTACTTCTTCATCGATAACAGAAGCTGCCGTCTTCGGAAGAGAATCTTCTGTTTTGATCCGAGCAGGATCTGCCATCGTTTCTCGACGTCTCTCTACGATTCAGCCTCTGCAAACATAAAATGTTCCCTTCAACATAAATTTATCTGGATAAATATAGACCAATTAACTGGTAAACAATCCAAATATGCTATTAATAAACTTGAAATCAAAATAAATTATACTCTGGTGAAAGATCCTCTTATCATAGCTACTGAAATGAATAAATACTTTGTTGACACAGTTCGAGATATAACTCAACAATTCACACCGTCTAACGGTGTTTTTGATCCTGTAAATCCTTGTCATGCTGTTTTCAGGATAGAAGAAATAACAGAAGTGGACAGCAACCAATCAAAGGCAAAGGATGTATATGGTCTCTCGACACCCATTTTTTAAAACTGCACAAAGATGCACTAATTCAGCCGGTAACTCATTTAATTATTCTATCGTTTAAACAAAATGTTGTGCCTTTAGCTTGGAAGCTAGCTGCAGTCACGCCAATTGACAAAACTGAAATGGCCAATTATCGGCCCATCAGTATTCTCCCCACTATCTCCAAGGTTGCAGAAAAGTGGGTGGCAAAGCAACTGAATGCATATTTAAATTTTGGACACACATCCCTACATCCAATGCAATTCGGATTTCGTAACTGCCACTCCACAGAGACTGCAAATTGTGTCTTTGTGGAAAAAGTCAAAAGTCTCCTTGACAGGCATGCATGTGTAGGAGCTGTGTTCATAGACCTCAAGTAGGCTTTCGACACGTCGATCATCAAATTCTTCTAAACAAATTGAGTCATTTTAATTTCTCACCAGAGGCGCTGCTCTGGTTTCAGTCTTATCTGTGTGACAGAAAACAATATGTGTCCTTGTTTGGCAATAAATCCTCCTACATTAGTTGTCCAGTTGGAGTTCCCCAAGGCAGTATTCTGGGGCCGATTTTGTTTATCATTTATATTTATGATCTTCTCGAAGTATGTTCAAAAGTAAACATACAAATGTATGCAGATGATGCTGTTATTTTTACTGATACTAAACGTCCTCAGGAAGCCTCCCAATTGTTGACTGCAACCATGGCCCATGTACAAAAATGGGTCAAGAGTTCCCACTTAAAGCTGAACATAAAAAAAAACTGTTTGCATGTTTTTCACCAAAAAAAAACAAACAATTGAACTAAAAAAAATCAAACATCTTTCTTGAAGGGGTAGAACTTGATATTGTCAAAGAATTCAAATATCTTGGGTTAACTTTGGACCCAACCTTAACTTTTAAGAATCACATTAAACAACTTTAAAAAAAAAACTGTCAATTATAATGTCATTTTTTTAACAAGTTAGACCTTTTTTCACTCCATGCTGCAAAGTTATTTTTACATTCTATGATTTTGTCTCACATGGAATAGTGTATAACCTCCTGGTCACTTGCTGCTGGTGCAACACTCAAACCCATAGAATCCCTTTTTTTAAAAGCCATAAAAATCCTTGATAAGAAATCATTTAGTTTCCACCACTGCTTTGTTTTAGATAAATATAGACTTCTTAATCTTAGTAACTTTGTTACCTTCAAGAATGCTTGCCTGTTTTTTAAGGTTTTACATGGACTAGCCCCTTTCCCACTGACAGATTGTAATAAATCGCGGTCTATCAGTGGAACGTCGACCAGGGCTACAGATAGAGGAGACTGTGAGGTGCCTTACAGACGCACTGCTTTTGGCCCGACCACACTATCCTAACTAAATATTGGACTAAATATTGGAATAGTCTACCACTCAGCATAGGAGACTCACAGTCATGCAGTTCCTTCAAATTCAAACAATGGCTGCAGGAAACCCAAACCCGTATCCATCAGTAATTTGTCCTCACCGTGGTGTTTTGTGTGTTTTCTTTCTGTTTTTCCTAGTTTTAAATATAATACTTTACTTTCTTTTATTGCTTTTATTACCCGCCTAGGGACTGCAGATGTAAATTAGCACTGGTGCTACAATCTGGCATATTTACCGATGCAATTTATTGTTGAAGTTCATTAATATGCACTGTCCCTATTAAATAAAGAAAGAAATGAAATTTACCGTTAAGGTGGATTTTCACGACAGAAATAACAGCATATACATACCTTCAAGCCAGAACGAGCTCAACGACACCACAGGAAGCAGCAACAAAACTAATTTAAACGTATTTTAGGTAGCCGTGAACAGAAAGTGGATTAAACATGATACATTTGTATAATATGTTAAAGCACACAACAAACGTGAAAAGCTAAGCTAGCGCTTCTTTCTTCTTCTTCTTCTTCTTCTTCTTCTTCTTCTTCTTCTTCTTCTTCTTCCTTTTCTTCTTCGTGGGTTAATGGCGTTTGGAAAAACAAAAATATGTTGTCGCCTCTTACCGCACTGGAGGGTAGCTGATGAGGCGAATTCATAAACTCTAGGGAATTTTGAACGTAAAATAGTGCTGTTCTGTTTATTGCCACCAGCATAGAGCTCAAATTTTTCATTTAAGGGAAAAACAGACTTTGGAAGAAATTAGATAGTCTTTCTACTCAGGAAGTCTTTTACATTTATTAATCCAGATTTATTTCCTTCAAATCCTCCTCCTCCTTCTCTTTTATGTCCCCGACAGGAGATGTTAAAATGTGAATGAGGGGTAACATAAGAAATGCAACAGCGGGTTTAAAATGGCTTTAATTGTTATAAAAGGATCTACCTGGATAAGATGCCTGTGTGGAGCTTGCTTCAAACCTATGCTTCAAACTCAGTTTTTCATTGGCTTTTTGTGAACGAAGAGGTAAATTGCTTTCCTCTAGTGGCGAAAAGCCGAAACTACACGTTAGTTCTGGTAATTGTTAGTCATTGGGTAAAACATCAGTAGAAAACATGTTAGCGTCCTTATATCAATGAGGCTAGAAACTGGAGTTTGAAGTAATTATCTTTAGGTAAGATAATACTTCTTTTTTACAAAACGTACTATCTCTTTAACAAACGTAAGCTAACGTGCAACAATAACGACGACCCAGCGCTGTGATTGGCTGGAATGAGCCGCGATAAACGGAAAAGGAAGTGGAAGATGTTAGGGGAGGAGCTTAAAGTAGAACGGCCATGGCGGGATGCGTGAAAACGACATACTGTTGTTACAAGTCAGCAATAACCAAAGTTTTAGTCTTCGTTGTACTCTTTATCTGTTTACCCCAGTCTTCACTCCAGAGTACTGGTAAGAAGCTGTGTTACAAAGTGGGAAAATACACAGTCACTTTCTTTATTGTGTTTTAAATCAGGCTAATCCAGCTAATTAGTGTTAGCTTGTTTCTTTCACAAAGTGAAACTGCTCGTGTGAGTTTTGTGGTGCTTCATACGTTCCTCTTTAATTCTGTTGGTTATACATGTAGTAGTTAACATCACCCCAATTCCCTTTTCGTACAATTCCTTTACATTTCACATGGATAAGCTATTAGTTGGGTTTATCCAAAAGATAAATCATTCTAACAATTAGCAGTAGATGATAATCTCACAGGATTATCCAGTCCAGAGACATGTCTGCTTGTGAAATCCAGGGAAAGCAGCCCAAATAATTGATCTGCAGGATGGAGAAGAGTTCACCATGTCAGGATCTAACCGGTTCTGCTACAGAAATGCTCTAGTGCCGACTTGGAGGCATACTTGGACACGAATTCAGGTGAGTTTCTTGAACTATTATTGTATGTAACTTTTATTCTAACTGAAGTGATAAGATTCACTGATCCATTGAGTCCTGGCCAAGATGGCATCTAAAATAGTTTCAAAATAAAAGAAGACAGCAAACTACAGGGAAAGAGAGTTTACAGATTTATACATCTCAACACGATCACTCAGTAACAACATACAGCTAATATTTAAGGTACAATGTGTAAGAATTTCACAGTGGAATAATCACTAAACAGTCTGTCTCAATTATGTTGGAAGGAAGGTTACATTGATCAGATTTCCTTCTCAGCTGGCTGGAGGTTGTCAGTTTTTCTCCTTTCAAAATGGTCTAAAAGGGACACAGTCTTTGTTTACAATCTGTGAGCCCACAGGGTTACTGAGTCTGTGCTGGATAACGCTGCAGTGCCGGCATTTGTAATTCCACACCGGCTGCAATACGCAGCAGCGTTTTGTAATGATGCTAAGCCGGTAACAGGAGCAGCCCAGGGTTTTTTCTCTTGTACCCCAAAGAAGCCACGGAATCTTTTTGTTTTATTCTAATGTTGGGTAAACAAGGCTAGAGGCTAACGTTGGGCTAACAATGCTAATGGTGAATTAGAAACAAATATTCAGCTCTAGAAAAATCTCCACCCACTTTTTTAACTACCAACAACTCAAACATTTCAGTGAAATGTATTTATCTACTTATCAACTAACTTAGTATGACTCGTCTTCACTCGTCATCCAGAATCTTCTGGTGCCAATGTGCAAAGCATAATGTATACTTCTGCGTCTGCTTGGGTGCCGAGACACACAACGCCATTATACGTCGGTGTAAGTGCTCTCCAATGGGATAACAGCGGCTGACAGAGACATAGCCAACTTTTTAAATATCCGTCGAAAGTGACGGAGACTGCAAGCATGTAATTGGTTAGGATGCTGCTTCCTTTAATTTCGTCAACAGCATCGCCATTGCCCTTTCAAAAAATAAAAAGATATGAAGCGGCAGACATGGAAACATATTGAAGAACGCCTCACAGATAAAGTCAGAAAATATGAACGTTTACATACTTGTGACTGAAGGAATACAAAGATACGGCGCAAGCATTTTATCTGTGGACATAAATGACGGGAAACGTGTTTTTAGAGGTGCTGATCACATGAAGAGGGGGAGGAGAATGAGGAACACATTACTCCTTGTTAAAAAGTCTCTGAAATACATTAAAACTATGTAAACACAAGTTAATTGTTTTATTTATAAAGTCTCTTCCCACCCCCGATCAAGGGGGCCCAAGGTGCTGAACATAGTCCAAAGAAGCAGCACAAAAAACAGCTCTATAATAAAATACAGAGATAAAAGCATTTAAAAACAAAAATAGAGCTAAAAACAATAAAAAATCAGTGATCAAAAACATTAAAATGTGATTAAAAACAACAAAGAAACAGATCTAAAATATAGCGTGGCAGGGGCGAGGTGGAGCTCCCTCCTCACCCCTGCCACATGAACCCAAGGGATAAGCCATCAACTCTGCTCAGTGGTCAACTTTCCTCGCGGGGTCACCCATAAAGACAGTGGGAGGGTTAAGTCTTGCTTTAAAAGTGGGCAGCGATGTGGACTGCTTGATTTCTTGTGGGAGTTGATTTCAAAGCCGAGGACTCAGAACTGCAAAGGCACGATCACCCCTAGACTTACGCTTTGATCGCTGTACCACCAAAAGGTCACTCTGACCCAAACGTAGCGATCTTGCAGGGACATAACGGGTCAGCAGGGAGGCTAAACATGGTGGCGCTGATCCAGACAGGGATTGAAAAACAAGGACCAGGATTTTGAACAAGATGCAACTCTTAACTGGTAGCCAGTCCAAAGCTGTCAGGAGGGGAGTGACATGCTCCCACTTACGTGCTCCATACAGAAATCTGGCAACAGCGTTTTGGACCAGCTGGAGCTGAGTCATTAAGGACTATATTAAATACACCATCTTGGACCAGATATACGACTGTAATGGTGGTGGGATACCCCAGAAAAGTGCTGCGCCCTCTGTTGTCCTGGCAGGGAACTGCTTTGCAACACTTCCCAGGTGACGGAGAAGTATGAACTAGGCTTAACTGGCAACAGTCATGAAACTCATGGAACCGTAGTGGGAGAAAGTCACTGGTGTGTTTAGTAAATGGGCTGCAGCTTCTACTTCATTCTAACATAATAAACCTTTAAATATTTCTATACTCTACTTTAGATCTGTGGACTTGTTGGTAAATACTCTCATTTGAAATGATTTAGCAATTCAAACCAGAATGAGGGTGCAAAAAGCATTAAAGGCATTTTCAACTGAACAGTTCAGGGAATGTTACGCATAATGGTCCTATGTGATCAAAGATTACAACCGCAGGTAAACATGTTGTTGACATAATATGGCCTGATCCAGCCTACAGGTATGTAACAAGGCCTACCAACCACCTGGCACAAGCTGGAGAAATGTGCTGTTATTCATCTGAATTTGGGAATCTTTGGGCTAAATGCTTACAAATGTGTAATTTCAATGAGTTTCTTTCACTCATTAACAAAAAACATTAAATCACAAACAATCTTATGTATTCCTTAAGAAAAATCTCATAAGGGCCCGCCCCTTTCTCAATAAATACAAAGTAAATTTAATGGCTGTAAACATTGCATTAACAGACAGTCTAAGTTGCAAACAATATGGATCTCTTACTTTAACCGGAAGTTTTTAAGAATTTTAAATTTTACCTTTATTAAGTGTTTTAAATTGATTCAGAGTTGAGCAACAAGCGTCCTCGGTGGCCTAACAGGCCTCTGAAGGAAACATGACCACACCTGTGCACAAGTCTAGCACCATGACAGTGACGCGTGTCTGTGGATAACAAAGTTAAGTTTAATTTGAATGCATAAATTAAGAGGTAATTCTGCCCTGTAGGGCTGCAACAAACGATTATTTGGATAATCGATTAATCGGATGGGGTCTCGACACGATTAATCGATTAATCGGATTACATGGGGAAATTTTTAAAAACTGCTAGGGAAACGTTATTTCTCTCCTTCCTTCACTTTATTTAACACAACATTATTAGAAAACAGTTCAATAGCAGAAAAACAACATGCCATCACCTAAATTGTCTTATAAGGTGTATAGACAGAGACCCTAAGCTACATCTATCTGTGACCTAAAATGCTTGGTCCAAGTTAAACAGCTTAAGGGCAATTCTCATCTGTTTTGTTTGATCTCATCTGTTGACATTTATTTTAAATGTAATTAAACATAGGCTGTGAATTAATCAAAATTGATCACTATTTCCAAAAATGACTGAAAAAATACCAAATAAAACAAAAGTAAATGAATGCCATCCTCCTTGCGATGATGCCCTGGGCAACTGCCATAAAGTCACATCAAGAAATGCTGCTGATCATTCCAATGATCCCAAATAGACTCACATTAGGCCACATGAAAGCAACTGAACCCAAAAATATATTAACCAGTATATAACTGCACTCTCACACAACACGCCTGCAGCAACAGTTAGGACTCCTCCCTCCCTTTTAAAAGCGTTTTTGCTTCCGAGGACATTGTGGTTGTAAAACCACATGCTAGTAGTCTGGCCCCGGTGTGATCAACCAGTTTCTGCGGGAATGTGACGGCGGAACCAGGGCCAGATTAACACTTTGTTGTACCCTGGGCAACAATATTCAAGGGCTCCATCATCACGACCCGAGGATCACCATAATGTGGTCACATACAGAATATTTTACTGTAATATGCAGTAAATATACTCAATACTTGAATGCCTGACAACACGTAACCCGCCCAGAGTAACCTTTGACCCACCTCGTGTGGACTGACCAATGAGGAGAGGGTCTTAACTTGAGGCCCTCTCTTCATTGGTCAGTCTGCATGAGACTGACTCTCAACTGACATTCGAAGTCATAGGCAGCGAAGCGTCTCTGTGCAGTGCAAAAGCCCGGGTGGACAGTTTGTTTAATGTAGGGTGATCATATTTCCATTTCCAAACAAGAGGACAGGGATCTGTGCCTATGACGTCACACTATGGCAACGCCACACAAACCATGTTGGGACCCATTTTTTGTAAGAACTAAATTAATATCAGAATCTGCCAATAAAAGGGCTCTAAAACAATTCATATGTAAATATTTTGCATATTTAATGCAAAATCTAATTTTTCTGCTTTAGTGCTGCAACAAGGTTTTATTAATAATAAATTATTATACCTTTTGTTTTACTACAGCATCGGTAAGCTTCCTGTGCACAGATTATTAAGGATGCTTGTTTCAGCTGTGAGATTAGACGATAGGATCAATGAAAAAAATAAGTTGTCACACACTCCATGGAAACTTTCAGATAATCCACAAATAGTGGCTTTCAAATGGTTTTGTTACTTTTTGCAAGTTTAGAAAAGAAGCAGATGAGACAGCATGTCTGATAATTTAGTTTTTCATCTGATAATATTAGAACATGTCAGTAATGTCTGAGGGGCTTTTACAAACACTGTATAACTAATACTCCTGGAGAGGGCATGAATTACACAGAGGCTTCTGGGGAGCCCAGTTATGGGGGGGGGGGGGGGGGGGGGGGGAGACATTTTGCCTTGGCCCCCAAAATGTCTTGAAACGGCCCTGGGTGTGTGACTGAGTTTTGAAGGTGATCTGAATTGTATCAGATGTATAAATATGACATGTGTATAACTTATTGTTTTTTACTGGTAAAAACGTGTAGTGGAGATAAATCTACCTACATTTTACTTTGTTTTCTTGTTTTTATTTAACTATTTTCCTGTCCTGTCTGTCTCTCATCTTCCTGCATCTCCTCTTAATTCTCCAGAAAATCTGTTGCCTGGATTCTTACTTTTTCACCTCATCAGTTACTTTTGAGCAGATCAAAGAGATCTCCTGACCGCAAAGCGGAGAGCGAGTTTTCGATGCTGCGTGAGGTGAAATCACCGCAGCACAGGTGATGAGCTCCGCAGCAGAGCGCTTCAGGCACAAATAAGACAGAAAATAGAGAACATGTGCAGACAAGAACGATCGTGTGCTAATTATAGTTTTTTGGTTGCGCCACTTTGAGAATGGACCGTGCGCTGGAAGCAGCTGCCTGGATCGCTGTGCAACAATGCGGAACCGGTTTGCAGCAGCGCAAGTCTGCAGGCTCTCCCTCGCGCTGATCTGCCTGTACCGGCTCTCCCTCGCGCTGATCTGCCTGTACCGGCTCTCCCTCGCGCTGATCTGCCTGTACCGGCTCTCCCTCGCGCTGATCTGCCTGTACCGGCTCTCCCTCGCGCTGATCTGCGGCTCTCCCTCGCGCTGATCTGCGGCTCTCCCTCGCGCTGATCTGCCTGTACAGGCTCTCCCTCGCGCTGATCTGCCTGTACCGGCTCTCCCTCGCGCTGATCTGCGGCTCTCCCTCGCGCTGATCTGCGGCTCTCCCTCGCGCTGATCTGCGGCTCTCCCTCGCGCTGATCTGCGGCTCTCCCTCGAGCTGATCTGCGGCTCTCCCTCGAGATGATCTGACTTGCTCTGGTCTGCGCGCAACGGTGGGCGGGAAGGGGGGGGGCGCTTTTGGAAGAGTTGTGCGACACAACGAATCGATGACGCAATTCGTTGCCAACGCTTTTAGTAATCGATTTTCATCGAATTCATCGATTCGTTGTTGCAGCCCTACTGCCCTGTTGCAGGTGAGATACCATGTTCATGATATTGGAAAGCTTCCTGCTGTAGAGTCGATGTCACGGTTTGGTGTAACAAAGTTGGGGTGTGGGCAAACCTCACACCGTCTGTAACGGCTAGTTTATGTTTCTGACAGGTGAAAGTTTGGAGCTCAAAGGACTTCAAGGTGGAAACGGTGGCTGGTGAGGAGGAGCTGCAGGAGCTGGAGAACTTCACCTTCTGGAACTGGCTTCAGGGGTTTCTACGGGAACGACACAATGAAACCACCATCAACATCAGCCTGTTCAGCAGCAAGACCTGCTTCCGAGTGGATCCGACAGAAAAAGCTCAGTTCACCGTCAGAGCCCTTCGCAGTGAGCAGAAACACACGTTCCCCTGAGATGTATGCAGCTTGATGAGAGATCAGCAGTGGATCTTCTGGCTTTTTGTTCCTGCAGAGTTTGATATCTTTCTGTTTCTGGTCTTCCTCTCTGGGACGTTGTTGTTCATCTTTGCTGACTCCCTCAGCAGGTATGTGTGTCCAACCAGATTCATTTTAAACCTTATTTAGATAACAGTAGCTGATGATATATTTCTGTGTGTTCTGACCCAATCTGAAGAAGTCAGATGTTCTTCTACTCGGCTGGTATGAGCATAGGCACCATCGCTTCCCTCATCATCGTTGTTTACATTCTGGGCCGCGCTTTACCAAAGGTTAGCCGCTTAATGACATTTCACTTTCTGTCATGTTGTACGTGGATCTCCTCAGGTTTTAGCTCCCCTCTTCCCCACAGAAAGGCTCTATTTATGTGATCGTAGCTGGCGGCTGGTCAGTCGCTCTGTACGCCATCCAACTTGTCTTCAGGAACCTCAAGCTAATTCTCCAAGAGCACTGGCGCTTGGCTTTAGGTACCGACCTTTAACTGTTGGTCTGCTTTAGTGCAAATGCAGTTACTCTCATTAGACATTAATAACATCCAACAGGCATGTTTGTTTAAAGGGTCAGGGTTTATTTGTGCCTTATGACTGTGTGAGCATGGTGTGTGTTTCTGTCAGGTTATGTGACGGTGGTGGGATTCGTAAGCTTTGCCGTGTGTTACCGTTACGGTCCTCTGGTCAACGAGAAGAGCATTAACATCCTGTCATGGACGCTGCAGCTGTTTGGGCTTCTTCTGATCTACTTGGGAATGCAGATTCAGCAAGTTGCCTTTGCTGTCATCTTGGCTGCATTGTTCTCCAAACACCTGGAGGTCCCTGTCTCTCTGGCACTTACAGCATGGAGGTATTGGCTAGCCAGATTTTAACAGTAGAGGGCGTAATGGTACAGATGCTTCTGTATGTAAAATCTGTTGTAGAGGCATTCATTGTTTAAGAGATACTTTATATTCTAAGGAAGTGGATAATCCCATGTGTGTTAACTGTTTATCAAATGCGGATCTGTGGTCATTTTTAGGATACATCTTTTTTCTAATTCCCTCATCTGCTTGGTTGTGTGAGGAAAATGATGCGGTACGTTAACTGGAAGCCAGTTCCACGTCGCCTGCTAACTGAGGAGGAGTACCAGAAGGAGGGAGAGGAAGAGACTCACCGAGCTCTGGAGGAGCTGAGGAAATACTGCAACAGTCCTGAGTTCAGCCCCTGGAAGGCCGTGTCCAGACTTCAGTCCCCCAAAAGGTGGTCAGCTCTGACTTCTGATGTTTAAATCAGGTTAAACTAGGGATGGACGATATCGGCATCAATATCGGCATCGACCAATGTTGGTCATTTTTTAACATCGGTATCGGTTCGATAAATAAAACCGGGCCAATATTAACTACCGATATTTTTTCCATCTCGTCTCCATTTGTTTGCCTGTTTCAGAGGGTGAGCGGGTGGTGTGTGATTGTTTAGTCATGTGAACAGTGAATGTAATCATCTCAGAACCATAAATGTGTGTGTTGTGTGTACATAATAACAACGTAAATTCAGCATTAATAATTTAATTCTATACCAAATGTGCTGATTTTAGAAGCATTCGTGTCGGTATATCGGTATCGTCTAATATCGATTATCGGCCATAACAGTGATATTGGCCCAAAAATTTCATATCGGTGCATCACTAGTTTAAACTCATCATGTGTCATAGTTCCTGTGTGACGGTTGGAATGGGTACGCGTCCTGCATTAACAGAATAAAGATGAGCTCATCGGTTTTATTATAACGGTGACTCATGTCCGATATTTCAGATGCAGTAAAAACGTATTAAAATCCCATCCTTTGATTACACAAAAATTACCTTTCGTTACCTCGCTATGAGTTAAAGCTTTCATTTGTTTTTACTAAACAGTTACAGTGGTCTCTAGTATAAATGAATGCCTTGTGAGTGGCTCTCTGTGGAGAAAAGCTCTGGTGCTCCTGTTTCATGAAGCAGAAATAAGAAAACGACAATATTTGGAATCTTACCTAAATTACAATTCTCAGAAATCTCATCTCTGATTGGATAACAGCAGCGCGGCTCTACCGCTGATCGTTTGCTCTGCGATGTTGATCTCCACAAATAACTTAAGACTAAAGGAGGTCTGCTGTGATGTAAAGTTGCTAATGCTAATAGCTACTACTAGCCAAGAAGTGCTCAGTCGCTCCAGTCACAGGCCAAGATGGATGAGTCCATGAATGCTAGCTTTCAGTGTGATGTAGATATGTGTGACTTTTTCTTCTCGAGTGTTTTCATCAGCGTCTAATGCAGGAAATGGGGTAGAAGACTATTTTCATGTAAACACCTGTCAGAAGATGACTTGGATGCTTTAACAACATTTAAAAAGTGAAATGTAGTAGAAACATTAAAGTGGTACTTTACTCACACTTTTTACTACATTTGCAGTGGTCGCTAGTAGGAATGAATGCCTTGTAAGTTACGCCGGTGCACCTGTTTCAGGAACTAGAAGCGAGTCAGATCAGGGTTGAGCTTCAGATGGTAGGACATGTTGTTGCCTTTTGAAGTTCAAATCATTAAAAGCAGGAAAATAATAAGTACGTAGTTCTGAACAAGAAGGTGTGAGTTTTTTAAATGGTTTATTGACACATTAATGCATAATTTTAAAGCCTAAATTTCTATTCTATCTATTCAGTCATGAATGTTCCTCTAAAGTTAATTTCTATTCTCAAATGCTTCATTAAGGCTTGAGTAGCCGAGGGCCTGTTAGCAGGAATGGAAACATAAATGAATCCCCAGTAAAGATGAAAAAGGATCCAAAGGAAATGCATTCAAGGAAAAGAAAACTGGACTCAAGATGGAACCTTGAGGAATCTCATATCGATGTTAAACGGTTGTTTTAGTCGATAACTGATGTGTACCAATATTACATATATTATGTTTACCTAGACTTTCTCTTGAAACAAGATAGAAACACCAGCCTAAGATCAGTTTTACCTTTCAGACTGTTTTTGATTGATAATGATGCAAACATTTTGTACATCCCCATCTTAAATGGGTAAAAAATCCATAAATAAACTAAAACGTTGTCAACATTTGAATGAGGCTTCAAGTACAGTGGCCTCTTTTTAAGTCATGTAAGAAATAGCAAAGGCAATAGCTGGATCTTTGACGGTCACCGTTAATAGAAATACTCCGGTGAAGTTTTTAATATTAAACCACAAAACAAACATGGGTTTGTATTACATTACCCATGATAACACCAGATTGTAGTACAACAGCATCTGTAATCGCCGTCTCCTTTTTCTCCGCCACAACTCAGGTTTGCTGATTTTATCGAAGGATCTCCGCACCTGATGCCAAACGAGGCTTCTGTCCACGCACAGGAATACGGTTTGGGAGGATCTTTTTTTGAGGATGAGCTTTTTGACACTGATGATGAGGAAGAGGATGTAAAGCATACATCTAAACCAGAATGAGATGGCAGACGGGGAAGAAGAGTCAGGAGGAAAAGCTGAAACTGTTGCGATGGAAGAAGATCCTTCACAGCTGTTCACATGCGATTGATGTGGAAAATCTCTGGACTGGATTACAGGCTTACATCGGCTCTTTTATACTCTCCTAAGAATAGCGCCAGAAAAAAAACTCATCTGGATACGTTTGTATTTGTAATAAAAGGGAATTAAATCTTTGTTGGGACGGTGCACCAAAGCCAGACCTGTTAGGTAGGAAGGATCAAGAGCTGTTCAGTACTTAGCATTTAGCTGATAAGTTTCCCTAAATAAACAAGTTTTAGTTTTCTAAATATTATTAATATTTGTAAAGAGTGTGTTCACGCTTCCTCTTTACTGTGATCAGGTCTGAACAGCAGCCGGATGCAGTTTTCTGCAGGAAGAGGAAATGTTTTGTTTTGGTCGTTGTTCCACGTGTTTCGTTCATTTAAATGGATATGTTGGTGGAAATGTCCTGAAGAACTTTGAATAAATTATTTTATATTTGTGCTGTGACGTGTTGGTTCTGTTACACTACAAACGTTTAATCCTGAAGAACTGACCGCGTCATCATTCATTCATGAAGTTTAAGCTACTTCGTTTTCACGGTTTTAGAATAAATTAATTCATCGTTTTAAGGTTTAAAATAGAGGATTTAATTTGCTCTGAAATGAAAAACTTGGGGGTATTTTTCAAAAATGTTTTCTTACTGATCAAAACCTAAATCTCAAGTATTTGTTGATGAGTTATGTCTGAGTCAGAGGGTCTACTCCACACGTCAGACTAGGAGGAAGAAGATAAAGGTGGAACTTCCACCTTGAACTGTTTTATTTGACTTAGTTATCGTTAAACAGTTCTATTAAAGTCTTAGTCGGTTGTTAATCACCGGCCGAGGTGCAAGTTTGGTTTTCATGTCGTTTGGTGCAATAACATTTCACCTTAAAAGGATATTTGAATAGAAACGTGTGATCTTTCTCTTCTTTGTACGTAAATTTAAGCTTCAACATAAATGAAGGTAGACCAAAGCAACAGGGCGCTTCACGAGCACAATAAATGTTTTTAAAAAACGATAAAAGGAGGAAAAAGATGAAGAGCAGGTATCACGCTGCTCTGCCCAAGAAAAACTCTGCAGAGCCAACAGTCACGTTGAATGAGTTGACAAAACAGGTCAGAGATAGAAAACCCTCTTTCATCCCGTCTCTCCCACTCTGCTTTCACCAGATCTTATCTGTTACTTGGGGACGCGGTGACATTTTCACCCATCTGCTGTGAGCATCCCATCAGGTTTCTCTGTGTGGTGTGTGTGTGTCCAGTCAGGGAACAACTCGACACCTCTGTAGGAATGATTACACAGAGTAACTCAACAGTTTAAAACAGCTGATACAACTAGTGTCATTTGCATGCATTTCCCTGGGCTCGGCTTGACACGATCAACAGTGTAATCACATTCACATTGACATATTTCCTTCGAGCTACTTCCCCAAAACACGCACTAAACAGGGAAACCTTGCGCCGATGCAAACACCACTCCATCGAATGCGGAAGAGGGGGAATCCCTTGGATCATTGTGAATACAGCCGACCCTGTGGCTCATGCTTCATGTAAAGTGCCTGGATTTCCCCACAGCTACAAAGTGTGCGAGCAATGGATTTCCATAAACATGCAGGCCGAAGGATTCTCCAGTCCACTGGACCACGTGGCCTCCCAATAAAACATGACGTATTGTGAATAAGCAGCTTTGCAGTTGATCAGCCTGGTGCTTTATTATCATGACAAAACGTTTATTGCAGTCGTGTAAATGCATAAGTAAAAAAAACTGCTACAACCAATAAAAAGACTGATTCACGGTTATGGCAAGGACCTGAAACAAGCAGCCAGTGCAGAACAAAAAGGTGAATAAGCATCACAACTGAAAGCAGTGCAGTTAAAAGTTTGCTCCTTTTCAAAAACGAGTGTGAATTTTTGATTCAACATCGGGAATGCCAGCTTCTTCTTCAGGCTGCAGCCATCGGAAAAACTCCACAGATTTTCTTTCCTCCTCAGCCTCTATGCTGAAAAAGGTCCATCGGGAACAGAAAACTACAAGTCCAGTCTTGGAGGTTCAATTCCAGTTTTTGTTACATCAATATTTGTTGATGCCAAATACCCGTACTCCGTGAAACTGGGGCAGCTTTGGTAGGAGGACCGTTAGGAGGGAACAAGTGTTGATGAAGAAATGTGTAGGATCATACTTTGTGTAGAAACTAGCAAGAATATACCTGCAAAGAGAACACACGTTAGAGTTAACTCCATTCAGAAAAACTACAAAAATCCCTACATCTTTGCAATAATTTCATTAAAAGCCCTACGATGTGATATATAAACGGGATAACAGAAATCAAGACCAAAAGAAATGTTAAAGCTGCTTTCAGTGGGACATTAGGCTTACCACGGTTACCACCAAATTAGCTCATGAAGGCTGTAGCGCCAGTGCCCTATACACTGGCACTCCCTGGTAGCTGTTGCGGGTGGTCTTTACGTGTGCTTTAAGAAATGCAGCTTGAGTTTATTTCTGATGATGTTTATTAATTGTCTTGTTCCAGAATGTCCATGATCCATTTACAGCAGTTAAATTGGTTTCAGTGAATGCGTTACTTGCCCCAATGACAGTCCGCAGAGTCCTTTACATACAGCCACAGTCCTCGCCACACAAAAAGAAATGACACATATGGCTCCTACAAAGGCAATCATGACGAGCTGCAGAATAACTTAGTATTGACATCGTAATGGGCGTGTGTGTGATCGTCACACTGCAGCTCATGTTGTGATGTCGGATTCATCATGTTCTCATGTAATGTTCCAGGCGCTTGACACACAGTGATCCAGCAATCAACACAAAATCCCACCTAGTTTCAATCATAGTGGGAACAGTGTGGATCCAGCCCAGAACTACTCGGGTGGAACTTGTTAAAGGTGTTGAACACTTGTTTAATCAATGCACTTGCAGTGTTCGTAGGGATGAGTGGCGCACCATCTTCAGCAACTAGAAGTGAGCTTCAGATGGCAGGTTTTTGAGTCTTATTTCTAGGGCCCGACCGATATATTGGTCGGCTGATTTATCCGTCGGCCGATATTGGGGTCATTAACAGTATCGGCTATTGGCCAAAAAGACGGCCAATATGGCCGATATTGCGCTACCTATCCAGCAGATGGCGCCAGCTTTATGAACTGATGTGTGGCTCCACTCCTTTGAACTTTGAACACAAATGATTGTTTCGGGACTTTTTTCAAATTTATTCTTGTTTATGTTTCTTATGTGCAATTATTTCCTGTCCAGGGTGAATAAGTTCACCAAATTAACTTCCACGGAGTGTTACTTTATTACAAAGCACAAGTATTAGGTTTTATTTATTGCTGCATTTTTATTATTTTAATATTCTTATCGGGATCTTCTGTCCCTAAACTTGTGTGTGTTGTTAAGATTCCCCAGAGTTAGCTAAGTCAGAAAAAACATTTTGTAACCAGTTGTTTTAGCATAAAGCAATGGAAGGGAAGGCAAATCACGCTTTCCCTGACTGTACCTTCTGTGTGTGTGTGTGTGTGTGTGTGTGTGTGTGTGTGTGTGTGTGTGTGTGTGTGTGTGTGTGTGTGTGTGTGTGTGTGTGTGTGTGTGTGTGTGTGTGTGTGTGTGTGTGTGTGTGTGTGTGTGTGTGTGTGTGTGTGTGTGTGTGTGTGTGTGGTTTAATAGACTTTTGCAAATTTTGTCCATGTTGTACGACATGGCGATGCAAAAGTCACATCACATCATTCCAGACCTAACCCCATGTTTTAATGTATGACTTGCATATTTTACTCAAAGCATTTCCTAATCACGACTGGCTAGATCAGGGGTCGGCAACCCGCGGCTCTTCCATCCATCTGATGCGGCTCTCTGTGCTTGTAAAATAATGAATGGATATTTAAATAAAATGCTTTATATTTTACTGCATTAATTTTACACCTGTATGCCAATTCTAAATGTAAAGATTGTCTGCGTAAACCTGAACAGGTCCAACCCGGTCTTACAGTGAGACCGGGTTGACGCGTCATGCTTGTGCGTAATCATAGGCGCTTTCTGAGCTGAAGAGGATGTGAGATTCTGGGCTTCTCCTCAGACGGCTCATGGATGCAACGCCACATTGGAGACAGGAACAAGCGCTATACAGCCAAAGTTTCATAATCAGGGAACATTTTCTAAGTGACAAGTCTCGCTTCAGTCGGAGGAATCTTCCTGCATGCGCTCTGGTTCTGCGACGTGCTCCAAGCCCCTCTCCACATCTTCAGCTCGCTGTGGACCTTATGTAGTACACGCTGAGCAGTGTCCAGCTCAGATGTTCAGAAGGAAATCTTTTCTTGAGTGACTTAGCTACATCTGCGATGTGCGAAACGAATAAAGTGTCAGTTCGTCTGCATGCGTCGGGGTAATTCTTTCTATTCTTTCTCCATCAAAATAAACGGTCAAATACGGGAACTATCCGGTCAACACAAGCCCTGCTTTTAACTGTTCTGTTTTCTTGTGAAAATTGTTGCAAAGAGATATAATTGAACTTGATTAACACCAGAGCCAGGCGCACTGCGCCGTTATCTCCGTCACTGTAAATGAGGGAAAAACAAAATGATCGGATCCTTTTCTGACCTTCCCCACCTACAAAGTTTAATTACAACAATCAAACGTGACAGAGCCTGGATTTGTATTCTGAACAGTCTAAACATGTTTTAAAAAGAAAAGTATGACAAAAGTGGCACCTGCTCAGTAAAACCACCAACAGGGTGAAAAATATCTAAATATTGTCGGCAGAGACGGGCTAAAACTTCTGGATCCACTTTATATAAATCGTTTTATTGATTATCGTCTTATGAAAGATAACTTTGACGTACACGAGCGACCGGTACTGGCTGCTGTCACCTATTGTGATTGGTTAAAGCAGCTCTCTGCTGTCTGAGGGTAGGCCCCGCCCACAACGCCGCAGCTGCTGTGGCTCCTAGTGCTTTCTTTACTGTGGGAAACGGTTAATAATGGCTCTTTGATGGGAACAGGTTGCCGACCCCTGGGCTAGATGGACGCTTCCATGCTTATGCAGTTTTGAGTCTGTGCACTCTGAGCTGTGTCGTCTCACAGATGATTTCATTCCTTTCCTCCTGGTTAACCAGTTGATGTGAGAACTATGGGAAAGGTCAGGTGACTGGTGTCACAGAAACATCAGCCGGCTTCCCGTTTGGAGCCCAGCTGACCGTGATGTAGGCAAAGTGTTGATTTGCATGCAGAGCGGGCGATGGAGACCTGATGAGAGGCGTCGCTCAGGACACACGTGGGAATGGATTTACACAACAACACGGCCCACGTGGGGCTCAATCACACAGCAGCACCAGCTTCTCCTGATTTACATGGTTTAAAAGGTTCGTCTCACGACTATTAACTTCACACGAGTATCTCCGCTCGTACACGTCATTAGTTTTATTTATTTTTAGAATAGTTGGTCGTGGAGACTGAGTGGGAATGTACTGGAAGCTTCTCATAGACACATTATTCTAGCTTCATCCGTTGTTGATCTGGCAGAAATACTAATTATTTCCATGTGCTCGTGCCTTTCCCCTCTTACTCCTGAGAAATGGTTTTCTCAAAAAGGCAAATGCTTAAAAAGTTTCATATTTTTGTTACTCGTTTCAGAAACGGAAAGTCATTTATTACATAGACCCATAACACACAAAGTGAAAGATTTCTAGTCATTTTGATGATTATGGTGACGGATATGAAAATCCAGGAATCAGTTTCTCAGAAATACTGACTATTGTGAAAAGTTAAATAATGGATTCACTCATAACACCTGCAAAGGTTTCCTAACCCTCTAGTTGGCTTCAGTCTGGGTCAGCAGAAAGTAGGAAGCTGAGTGGAAGGGGAAGGTTTGGTAGGAAAAGTCACATTCAGGAATCTGGGGGTGCTTCCACTAGCAAATAAACCCTTGAAACATCTGGTTTAGCATGTAATGAGTATCTAATTTCTTAGTTTCCCTTTGAAGTTGATTTATTGGCATAAATTAACTTTTGCATCATATTCTGATTTATCGAGTTTCACTTGTATTGATGCATAGAAGTTAAAATACTTTGCAGAAGCTGGAAATTTCTTTTTTGAATGTCCTCTTCTGTTTGATATTCAAATTTTCTGAGATGCTGAACCTTTTTTCTCAGTTATAAGAAAGAAGTGTTTGACATACCGTAAATCCTCTAATACAGGCCTGTATTCAATTAACGGCTGGGTCTCGTATTTTGGCCGGTGTCGGAGTCGGCGGAGGTGAATAATGGCCGTTTTTTTATTGTGGCCGGGTGGAATGTGGTAACAAGCAAGTACGGGGGGCGGTTGTGTCATCGTCTCACTTTTGATTTGCCAGTGATAGACCACGAGGGTAACTTTAACCGTGCGGAGACGAAGAGGAGGCGAAAATTTGATATCAAGTTCAAAGAGAACGTGCTGATTATGCTGCAGAACACTCTGGGGAGCAATAGGGGTTGTATGAACTAGTCGACTTCACCACTCTATAGTGACTTTTTATGCCTGTCATCGACTATTCGCTGTCACGTGATAATGACCGGCAAGATGCAGCCCTCGGAAAAGACAGCAGCCTGCTGTCAGCAGGTGACAAGCTCGTGCGCGTCGGGGGGGGGGGCAATGCGCTGTGCCAGAGCTTCGGTACTGACATGCAATCGTTAATGTCGGTTCATTTCCTTGAATGTTTTCTGTCTTTTATTTGTGCCTGATGCGTTTCGCTGCTGTGGAGCGGGGCGCTGCGCGCATCACCTTGTCCTCCGGTGACGCACCGATCACTGATGCGGCCGCCAAGCAGGGAGCACTCCGCTGTTTTTGCGGTTGGTAGATCTTTTAGAACTGCAGTTCAAAGGTAACTCATAAGGTGAATATATATGAACCCAGGTAGCAGTTTCTCTTTAGGATTGAGAGGAGATGCAGGAAGATAATAAACAGGCAGAACAGAAAAATAGTCAAATAAAAACAAGTTAGTTTTTGTACCTGGTGGTAGCAACAAACAGACACAATTGAAGGTCATCAGAAGTGAGGAACAGAAAATGAAATAATTATTTTAATGTTTAGAGCAGCAGGAACTCCGAGAGGCTGCAGGCGCATCAGTGAGTTTGCGGCCGCTGCGCAGGGGGAGGGGGGAGAGGGCTGAAGCAGAAACTACCGTTGCTAAAAGAAATGTGTTTAACTTTGAAAATGTGGGCGCAATTTTAATTGTCAAAAACTCCAGCGAACCATTAGTTCATTTTGCTCAAATAGAAATAGAGGCCTGCCTCTAATACTGGCCCTCCTTCCAATAAAGGCCTGGAGCTTGATGAGCTTGAGTCAAATACAGGCCCAGGCCTGTATTAGAGGATTTACGGTATTTCACTTTTTTCATTTATAATAAATGGGTTTCATGTTCTGAAAGAGTAACAAAATTATTATCACACAGGTGTTCAAGGAAATCTATTTACAAATTCAGCGACCTGCTCATCATAACGAGAGTAAAACTGAAAGCAGTCAAATTTTGCAGCAATTGTACTCACAGAACAATGGGTGAGATGGTGAGGAATTTGCGTGATGACGTGAATTGGACGCCATAGTCCATCTGTTCCCAGTGTGTGAGCATACGGGCTTTGCCTTGGTCTGGCGTTTCAAAAGGAGTTCCCTTTACCGTGTGCAGGAACAGGTACATCGCCTGCAGATGGGACAAACACACAGACACCGCTTGGGTCTACAGCAGAGAGTAGCTAAATACTGAGTCAATAAGAGGAGATTCTGCTGCAACGACTTTACAATATGCTGCATTTCAACATTTGTTAACAAACCAGGTTGTGGATGACGTTGGTGAGGGTCCAGACCAGCGGCACCGAAAAGAAAGGAATGCTGAGCAGGACGACGTGCAGGATGACGGTCAACAGAAGGTATGTCAGCCATATTCCCCTGCTGTTCATCACCCGTGTGTTGGGGTTCACCTCGCTGTGAGCCACGCCCACATTCATCTGACAGCAAACAGGAGAGGACGATTAAAGAAAAAAAAAACTGATTTCAGAGAAGCATGATAGACTTCAACTATATAATAAAGAAAACAACCTGCCTGTTTCTGAGTCAGGCATAAACTGAAAGTGGTCACATGGTTTTATAGATCATAAACTCCATGAAACACCACTGCTCATGTGATAGCATTACAATGAAAAACAAATCCATCTTACATATGTAAATATATACCTGTAAAGCTAAATATTTTTGCTATTGCTACGGTTGGTCTAACTTTCCAGGCTTGTGGAAACACAGAATTAATTGCAGTTTATAGTTTGCTCTTCAGTTTTGCTTTCTAAACTATTTTATAAGACATCAACATCTTTATTCAATGGCTAAAGAAAATGAGTTGGTCTTTTCTTTTGCACTTTGATTCTTGTGTGTAAAATTAATCTGAACACACTTTTATGAACACATTTAAGATTTGTTCCTAAAATGAAAAACAAACAAAACACATTCTTAAAAATTTCAGAAGACTTATTTGTGCATCTGAGCAAAATGTCATTGTCTTTTGGAAACCAAGGAGAGATCACAAGGCAGCTCAAGGAACTGCATAACTATTTATACAGATAAACACATCTATTAGTTACACAGTATAAAAATTAACAGTGATTATGCAAAACTATCAAATCAGATCATACATATCCAAAAAGGTAACAGATACAGATGAGTGGCTGAGAAGGGGTTGATTTCTTCCAGGTCGCTGAATGAGTAAAGTTGCAGAGAACAGGTGATGAAGACAGGCAGGTAAGCTTTAGTTCCCTCAGGAAATAAAAATCTGTATTTTTCGTTCCCCATGTGTGAAATCAGCCTAGGTCAAGATGTGAACACCAGCTCCTTCCTCCTTCTCCATGTGTGCTGACAACATTTGTTACCTATGATCAGTTGGTATTAGTATAAAAGCTACTTTAATTGCGTTTATATTTTCTAAGTTGTTATAGGAAAATGCGATTAAGATATGTATTTTTAATAGTAACGGCAGTTTACTGAGAAGTTTGAAACCGGTCTAATGAGATGACTCCGCCTGGTAAATTAGTTCTGGGTATAGAAAACACGCGCTTCTTTAGCGCTCTCCCATCTCCCAGCTAACAAGCTAGCAGCAGGTTTTATCCACTAACCGCTAGCATGTAAACAAACAACCACTGAAAATAAACACAAATAGCCATTATTTAAGGTCCCCACAACGTCCGTCTGAAAGATGCTTATACTTTTCCCACTTCGTGTTGTTAGTTTATGATATTTACACGCTACATACGCAGGCTTGCTAACATCTACGCGCAGCCAAGCTAAAAAGTTTGGCTAATCAAGGTGGAAAACGTTCACGCTGAGCGTTGTCACAACATCTGTAAGAGTTGTGGGCAATTAAACGGGTCCACTCGGTACTTCGAGGTTTGAAACGCTACGTTTAACCAGAGAGGACTTTACCTTCCTGTGTCGTCGCAGGTCACCAGGAAATGTCTTGTGTTTTCACTAACCCCGCCCTCCTGAGTCGGGCTGGTTCACCCCGCTGCCTGCTGCAGGTGAACGGGTCAAGAACATGGTCAAGAAGCAAAAGTACAAAAGAAAAAACAAAAATTGCGGTTTTCCACGAATTCCCCTCCATGTTCCAAAATCAATCCCAGAAATTTGTTAGAAAATTCCAACAATGCAGGATGCTTTGAGGATGATGCTGTCTGGTTTGCTGCTTGTTTACTAAACTTTACTGACATTAAAACACAAGCACACATTCAGAGTGTTTTAATTTTGAAAAATCTACAGAACTCTTCTTAATTTATCATCAGGCACGTGAAAACAATTTAATGTAAAAGGCAATAAAGGAAAATATTAAGTCCTTCTCTCAGTAATAGGGGTTTACATCAGGACATAAAACAATACTAGGTTCCAAATATTCCTATTTATTGTACCCCAGTAAAAAGTCAATTGCAAAAGAATTAACAGCTTGCTTCCTCTCTAAGCCTAGACCCAGCGAATAAATAACAAAAACCCTGGTGTTATTCCCTATAGCATCCTATAGCATCCTGTGAGTGAGTTCACAGTTACGTATATACTGTACAAGTGGTTCCACCTAAAAAGAGGAGAGAGGTCTGTAATTTTCATCATTAGTAGACCCTAAGCTTTAACTTCAAAATGTGAAAACATCTCATTGTATGATTTTTAAAGAATTTCTGAGTATGACGGTACAGAAAATGAGCATTTAGCACATGGACGTAATTTTTTTTTGGGGGGGGGGGGGGGGGGGACAGGGGGGACATGTCCCCCCCCCCCCCCCCCCCCCCCCCCCCCCCCCCACACACACACACTTTCTCCAAAGTCAAGTTTTCACCCCTGCACTTTTTACCAATACTTTATATTAAATTGGCACTGGTTGAGCTCTAGGACCAAGCAGAAAACAACCATTTGTGTTGAAGCCTGTTTCCCATTAGAACGTACTGTAAAGGACCCCCCCCCCCACACACACACACACACACACACACACACACACACGTGTCCCCCCCCTCTTCTAAAGTGAAAATTACGTCCATGATTTAGCATGAATTCTGGCTCTCACACAACTCCCACCCCTCATTTACACCAAGTGTGAAATCAATGCTGAACACCTCCAGAAAGTTGCTTGTGAGTTGATGCAATAAGAACTATGTGCAGAGAGGAGCTAAAAGCCACATTTGTCTTCTCAAACTATGAAACACTGCTAACTGAAGTTGTTAATAATGATGAAATAATATTTTGTTTTGAAGTAAACTGAAAGCACCTCGCTGCACCATGTTTCACTTCAGTGTCTAGCTCATGCAATTTCTTCAACTTCATGACAATCCCCATGCAGTGTGTGTGTGTGTGTGTGTGTGTGTGTGTGTGTGTGTGTGTGTGTGTGTGTGTGTCATCGTCGGCTCACTATTTAATTTTCTTTCCACTCTGCTTCACTATCAACTCTGCTGGTTACCTAACATCTGCCGATGTCATTACCTGCACAGTTACAACCTGTCAGCACGAGTCAACACAAAGCGACTCTATCGGGAATTTCCGAGTATACCGCAGTTCAAGATCTCCATGAGTTCCTGAAATGGCCTGGAAAATGGTCCTTCCAGGCTTGCCCAATAAAATGGAGACACATGCATGCCACGAGGGTACAGTAAAGTTACCTGGAAGTTCAAAAAGTGGAAACGGGTCTAATCTGCAAATGGAATTGGACAATTTATCCATAATAAGGAGAGGATTGTTGTAGCCATGTATCGGGAGATTATGGGCAAAATCCTTTCTTCGTCAGTGAGAGCATGAAAGATCCTCCAGCATGACAATGGTCCCAAACACACCACTAAGGAGTGGCTGCATAAAAAGCATTTCAAGGTTCTGGAGGTTTCAGCCAGTTTTTCATCTCAGTCCAACAGAGAATCTGTGGAAGGAGTTCAAAATCCATGTGACCCAAATCATCATAGCTCTAAAGAAGATCTGCATGTAAGAATGGTCCAAAATTCTTTAAAATCCTACAGTGTGATTTCTTGAATATTATTCACCTTCTGTCTCTCACATTTGAAGTGCACCTATAATAAAAATTACAGACATCTCATCCTTTTAGTGCTGCCAAATACTGTTTTTGCCCCATTGTAACACATTTCAAGACATTGTTCACTAAACGTCTAAAAAACACCATCATTACATTGCATATCAGTCTGTCCAAAGCGAATTTAAAAATATACATTTTTATTTGTTATAAAAACAAAGGAAAGAAAAAAGCTGAAGTGAGTCTACAGACCCCAAACCTCTTGGAGCAGCTGCTGAAAGACTCTTTGACAGATTTGGGCCACATCATCATATGCAGGCATATCATAAGAATCAAAATCTTGCGATTTACTCCTGAGTGGATGGGCAGCCAATGGAGCTGGAAGAGGAGTGGTGTGACACAAGAAAACCTGGTCAGCAGCTTTTTATACAACCTGCAGATGACCCAGTGATACTGTGTTTTGTCAAGAGAATAATGCATTACAACAGTTTAATATTGAAGAAACAAAAGAATGAATAATAATTTCCCCTTCAGATTGTGAAGTTATGCTACTTAAAATCATTTCTTAGATGATGCAAACACGAAGACTGACCCTCTAACGTGAAACCATGGTCAAAGTTTCCAACATGGTTCCTGGTACAAGAGGCTAGAGGACCAAGAGGATTTTAAAGCTTTTCTGCTGGACAGACAAGGACTTTAGTTTTTCCTTCATTCAGTTGGAGAAAACGTGTTGCCATCCAGCCATCCTGGGTTTATGCTGCTGCTTATATTAACTAGAATGACAATGCAAACGTTACTTTAGGTTTTGGGTGAAAACAACTGCTCGTCTCAGCAAATTTATGTCATCAAACCAGACAAAGAGAGGAAGAAAAAAGTGGCTGAGCTGAGTTTATCTAGCTTCACATCCTTCTTCCAGGGTGAAATAAGGTGGAGAGAACCACTATAAATCTGGCCATGTGGTTAATAGCAGCTATGCTGGGGGAGAAGAGATTCTGTGGTGATGTCACATATGGGACGCCTGATTTGTAGTCTTTTTAACTAGGAATTTTTACAAGCAAATAAGTCTTAAATTACATCATAGATAGTCAGAACTAGGGAAGTAAGAAAATATCGATATGGCAATATATCGTGATATTTTTCCAGCAATATTATATCAATATTCAAAAGCCGTGTATCTAATTCTTGAAAAAATTTACATGCAAACATTTGTGTATTTTCTTTTCGTTTTGTGCAATTCAATCGCCACCTGCTAGTTGGCAGCAGTGTGCAACGGGTTTTGTTTCCACCATTGAAATGTAAATCCCTCCGTCACGGTTCAGATACCTCATGTTAAACATGTTACGTATCAGTTTGGACTGTGTATTGAACATTCTTACAATAAATTCAGTAAAAAAATTTGCTTTTAACATCTGACTGAATGTATCGCAATATATCATGATATATCGTATCGTCTCCCCTGTATCGTGATACGTATCGTATCGCCAGAATTTAAAAAATACACATCCCTGGTCAGATCACTATCATTTTCATTTAAATTGAAGTACATAGGGTTCGAATTACAGAGGAACAAAGGGGAGCCCGGCTCCCCTGAAAGGGTGACAAGCTCCCCCAGAAGCCTTCAACTTACACACCTAGGGGGAGCCCTAAAAAAAGTTCCAGCTTTTATATTACATTATTTATATGGAATCTCAGAATTCCGGGGATTCTTCTGGACGGAGAGGATGGAGAGCGCTGATTGTTGATGTGCTCCAGGAAGCTGCGTCCTGCACACGGCCTAACACACTAACCCACGCTAACACGCTCAAAGTGGCACCACCAAAACATAGAATTAACACATGGTTGTTCGTGTCCACTCATATTCTCTGGTACGTTCTTTCTTTTATTTGTGCCTGATGCACTTTTGAAGGCCTTTAGAGGGGCAGGGCAAAATATGTAACCTTTTTGCATCGGTCTTAACTGATAATCTAATATTCTGAGCCAGGCAGATATTGTAGTAAATCTCTGAGTGGAAATGAATAACTGAGGACAATTAATGCAGGAGTTTTAATAAGTCATGAGAAAACATGGAGCTGTGTTTTTATACAGATGTATGACGAAAGCAGTGGCGGGGGGAAAACCAAAACGAATAAGCAATTACTGGCACAGGAAATGGTTTCCATAGTAGCATCACTGAAATAATAACAAGGGAAGTCAGAAATTATCAGATGATGCATTAAATGGTCAGGGGATATCTTGAGAAATCAAGGCTTATCTTTCATGTTTTTGTGTAACTTTCTAATGTTTTTGTTCTACAATGCTGTGAAAAACCATCTCCCCTAAAAGATTTCTTGTTTCTGCATTTTAAGTTCAACTTAAATGTTTTAGATCAGCTAATACTTTTTAAAATCGAAGACAATCTGACTAAATAAATAAATGCATTTTTCTATTATAAAGCATGAAAAAGTGATCCAAATGAACCAGGTGAAAATTAATCTCAACGGCTGCAATCAGGCATTTAAACTGGTAATGAGGGTCTCACATCAATGCTGTGGAGGAATTATGGCCCACTCTTCTTTACAAAATTATTTTAATTCAGTCACATTGGAAGATTTTCCATCATGTACAGTTACAAGTAAAAGTATGTGAACCCTTTAAAAGTATAGATTTCCACACAAATTGGTCATGAAATGTGATCTGACCTTCGTCTTAGTCACAATAGAAAATCATAGTCTGCTTAAACTAAAACCACTCAAATAGTTATATGTTTCCATGTTTTTTTCAACACACCATGTAAATATTCACAGTGCAGGTGGAAAAAGTATGTGAACCCCTAAATTAATGACATCTCCAAGAGCTAATTGGAGTCAGGTGTTAGCCAACATGGAGTCCAAGCAATGAGATGAGATTGGAGGTGTTGGTTAAAGTGAC